TACGCCCGTACCAGGCCAAACACTCTGATATTACACTAGGCACTAATAAAAAATAAAGTGAATTAGAGATGTCGGAGTGAATTGACGTGACCTATACCGTTCGAAACATTACAGAATGAAATTTCAAAACCCCAAGTTTCGCCCTTTTTGGAGCCAAATTACGCCCGTACCAGGCCGAACACTCTGATATTACACTAGGCACTAATAAAAAATAAAGTGAATTAGAGATGTCGGAGTGAATTGACGTGACCTATACCGTTCGAAACCTTACAGAATGAAATTTCAAAACCCCAAGTTTCGCCCTTTTTGGAGCCAAATTACGCCCGTACCAGGCCAAACACTCTGATATTACACTAGGCACTAATAAAAAATAAAGTGAATTAGAGATGTCGGAGTGAATTGACGTGACCTATACCGTTCGAAACCTTACAGAATGAAATTTCAAAACCCCAAGTTTCGCCCTTTTTGGAGCCATATTACGCCCGTACCAGGCCAAACACTCTGATATTACACTAGGCACTAATAAAAAATAAAGTGAATTAGAGATGTCGGAGTGAATTGACGTGACCTATACCGTTCGAAACATTACAGAATGAAATTTCAAAACCCCAAGTTTCGCCCTTTTTGGAGCCAAATTACGCCCGTACCAGGCCAAACACTCTGATATTACACTAGGCACTAATAAAAAATAAAGTGAATTAGAGATGTCGGAGTGAATTGACGTGACCTATACCGTTCGAAACATTACAGAATGAAATTTCAAAACCCCAAGTTTCGCCCTTTTTGGAGCCAAATTACGCCCGTACCAGGCCGAACACTCTGATATTACACTAGGCACTAATAAAAAATAAAGTGAATTAGAGATGTCGGAGTGAATTGACGTGACCTATACCGTTCGAAACCTTACAGAATGAAATTTCAAAACCCCAAGTTTCGCCCTTTTTGGAGCCATATTACGCCCGTACCAGGCCAAACACTCTGATATTACACTAGGCACTAATAAAAAATAAAGTGAATTAGAGATGTCGGAGTGAATTGACGTGACCTATACCGTTCGAAACCTTACAGAATGAGATTTCAAAACTCCAAGTTTCGCCCTTTTTGGAGCCAAATTACGCCCGTACCAGGCCAAACACTCTGATATTACACTAGGCACTAATAAAAAATAAAGTGAATTAGAGATGTCGGAGTGAATTGACGTGACCTATACCGTTCGAAACATTACAGAATGAAATTTCAAAACCCCAAGTTTCGCCCTTTTTGGAGCCAAATTACGCCCGTACCAGGCCAAACACTCTGATATTACACTAGGCATTAATAAAAAATAAAGTGGATTAGAGATGTCGGAGTGAATTGAAGTGACCTATACTGTTCGAAACCATACAGAATGAAATTTCAAAACCCCAAGTTTCGCCCTTTTTGGAGCCAAATTACGCCCGTACCAGGCCAAACACTCTGATATTACACTAGGCACTAATAAAAAATAAAGTGGATTAGAGATGTCGGAGTGAATTGAAGTGACCTATACTGTTCGAAACCATACAGAATGAAATTTCAAAACCCCAAGTTTCGCCCTTTTTGGAGCCAAATTACGCCCGTACCAGGCCAAACACTCTGATATTACACTAGGCACTAATAAAAAATAAAGTGAATTAGAGATGTCGGAGTGAATTGACGTGACCTATACCGTTCGAAACATTACAGAATGAAATTTCAAAACCCCAAGTTTCGCCCTTTTTGGAGCCAAATTACGCCCGTACCAGGCCAAACACTCTGATATTACACTAGGCACTAATAAAAAATAAAGTGAATTAGAGATGTCGGAGTGAATTGACGTGACCTATACCGTTCGAAACATTACAGAATGAAATTTCAAAACCCCAAGCTTCGCCTTTTTTGGAGCCAAATTACGCCCGTACCAGGCCAAACACTCTGATATTACACTAGGCACTAATAAAAAATAAAGTGAATTAGAGATGTCGGAGTGAATTGACGTGACCTATACCGTTCGAAACATTACAGAATGAAATTTCAAAACCCCAAGTTTCGCCCTTTTTGGAGCCAAGTTACGCCCGTACCAGGCCAAACACTCTGATATTACACTAGGCACTAATAAAAAATAAAGTGAATTAGAGATGTCGGAGTGAATTGACGTGACCTATACCGTTCGAAACCTTACAGAATGAAATTTCAAAACCCCAAGTTTCGCCTTTTTTGGAGCCAAATTACGCCCGTACCGGGCCAAACACTCTGATATTACACTAGGCACTAATAAAAAATAAAGTGAATTAGAGATGTCGGAGTGAATTGACGTGACCTATACCGTTCGAAACCTTACAGAATGAAATTTCAAAACCCCAAGTTTCGCCCTTTTTGGAGCCAACTTACGCCCGTACCAGGCCGAACACTCTGATATTACACTAGGCACTAATAAAAAATAAAGTGAATTAGAGATGCCGGAGTGAATTGACGTGACCTCTACCGTTCGAAACATTACAGAATGAAATTTCAAAACCCCAAGTTTCGCCTTTTTTGGAGCCAAATTACGCCCGTACCAGGCCGAACACTCTGACATTACACTAGGCACTAATAAAAAATAAAGTGGATTAGAGATGTCGGAGTGAATTGACGTGACCTATACCGTTCAAAACCTTACAGAATGAAATTTCAAAACCCCAAGTTTCGCCTTTTTTGGAGCCAAATTACGCCCGTACCAGGCCAAACACTCTGAGATTACACTAGGCACTAATAAAAAATAAAGTGAATTAGAGATGTCGGAGTGAATTGACGTGACCTCTGCCGTTCGAAACATTACAGAATGAAATTTCAAAACTCCAAGTTTCACCTTTTTTGGAGCCAAATTACGCCCGTACCAGGCCAAACACTCTGATATTACACTAGGCACTAGTAAAAAATAAAGTGAATTAGAGATGTCGGAGTGAATTGACGTGACCTATACCGTTCGAAACATTACAGAATGAAATTTCAAAACCCCAAGTTTCGCCTTTTTGGAGCCAAATTACGCCCGTACCAGGCCAAACACTCTGATATTACACTAGGCACTAATAAAAAATAAAGTGAATTAGAGATGTCGGAGTGAATTGACGTGACCTATACCGTTCGAAACATTACAGAATGAAATTTCAAAACCCCAAGTTTCGCCCTTTTTGGAGCCAACTTACGCCCGTACCAGGCCGAACACTCTGATATTACACTAGGCACTAATAAAAAATAAAGTGAATTAGAGATGCCGGAGTGAATTGACGTGACCTCTACCGTTCGAAACATTACAGAATGAAATTTCAAAACCCCAAGTTTCGCCTTTTTTGGAGCCAAATTACGCCCGTACCAGGCCAAACACTCTGATATTACACTAGGCACTAATAAAAAATAAAGTGAATTAGAGATGTCGGAGTGAATTGACGTGACCTATACCGTTCGAAACATTACAGAATGAAATTTCAAAACCCCAAGTTTCGCCCTTTTTGGAGCCAACTTACGCCCGTACCAGGCCGAACACTCTGATATTACACTAGGCACTAATAAAAAATAAAGTGAATTAGAGATGCCGGAGTGAATTGACGTGACCTCTACCGTTCGAAACATTACAGAATGAAATTTCAAAACCCCAAGTTTCGCCTTTTTTGGAGCCAAATTACGCCCGTACCAGGCCAAACACTCTGATATTACACTAGGCACTAATAAAAAATAAAGTGAATTAGAGATGTCGGAGTGAATTGACGTGACCTATACCGTTCGAAACATTACAGAATGAAATTTCAAAACCCCAAGTTTCGCCTTTTTTGGAGCCAAATTACGCCCGTACCAGGCCAAACACTCTGATATTACACTAGGCACTAATAAAAAATAAAGTGAATTAGAGATGTCGGAGTGAATTGACGTGACCTATACCGTTCGAAACATTACAGAATGAAATTTCAAAACCCCAAGTTTCGCCCTTTTTGGAGCCAAATTATGCCCGTACCAGGCCGAACACTCTGACATTACACTAGGCACTAATAAAAAATAAAGTGGATTAGAGATGTCGGAGTGAATTGACGTGACCTATACCGTTCAAAACCTTACAGAATGAAATTTCAAAACCCCAAGTTTCGCCTTTTTTGGAGCCAAATTACGCCCGTACCAGGCCAAACACTCTGAGATTACACTAGGCACTAATAAAAAATAAAGTGAATTAGAGATGTCGGAGTGAATTGACGTGACCTATACCGTTCGAAACATTACAGAATGAAATTTCAAAACCCCAAGTTTCGCCTTTTTTGGAGCCAAATTACGCCCGTACCAGGCCAAACACTCTGATATTACACTAGGCACTAATAAAAAATAAAGTGAATTAGAGATGTCGGAGTGAATTGACGTGACCTATACCGTTCGAAACATTACAGAATGAAATTTCAAAACCCCAAGTTTCGCCCTTTTTGGAGCCAACTTACGCCCGTACCAGGCCGAACACTCTGATATTACACTAGGCACTAATAAAAAATAAAGTGAATTAGAGATGCCGGAGTGAATTGACGTGACCTCTACCGTTCGAAACATTACAGAATGAAATTTCAAAACCCCAAGTTTCGCCTTTTTTGGAGCCAAATTACGCCCGTACCAGGCCAAACACTCTGATATTACACTAGGCACTAATAAAAAATAAAGTGAATTAGAGATGCCGGAGTGAATTGACGTGACCTCTACCGTTCGAAACATTACAGAATGAAATTTCAAAACCCCAAGTTTCGCCTTTTTTGGAGCCAAATTACGCCCGTACCAGGCCAAACACTCTGATATTACACTAGGCACTAATAAAAAATAAAGTGAATTAGAGAGATTTCGGAGTCTGAGTGATGTGAAGCAACCTACGCCATTTGAAAGCTCTGGAGATTTCTGGCGATCCCGATTTTAATTTACAACTGTATTTCACACCAACTTTTTCTGAGAGAACTACCAAACACAGCACGATTTCAATTTATTTCATCAAAATATCCAACTCAGTCGTCAGAACTTTGAACTTTCTTCGATCCTCTCAGTTGCCGTCGAATCTCTCTCAATGTTTCTCGATGATGTCGATAATACTTTTCTCTCAGTCCCGTGGTGCTCAAACTGAATGAATTCAGTTCATAAGTCATCGTAAAAATCATGAAAACAAAGCAGAGGCCAATAATCCATTCGAAGACTGTGTTCAGGAGGTAAAGCGAGTGCGTCTGAAAAAAACATATTATTTCATGGGATGAAAAGCTGTTTAAATATCTTCGAACTGATCAGTAACCACACCTTACCGCAGATCCCCATGGATAACGCTGAATTTGGCCAGGTTTAGTGGGAAAGGGCCGAGGAATTCTGGTCCCATTTTCATAATATCTCGGAATGAAATTTGTAAACGGAGTAATGAATGATATTGTGGAGATAATCACCACAGACAACCGCAGGATACTCAGCCATCTTGGTGCGTATTCTGGTTTCAATCTCATGGTCAGAATGACAAAAACCCAAAGGTACAGCACTCCTCCGCCAAAGGCCAAGAGCGCCCCAAAGAAATGGTAAGTTATGTTGATGGTCTCCTGAAACAGATGGATTAGGATATAAAAGAAGTTTTCTGAGATGTTTTATTACCTACAGGGACTGATCCAACAATTACAACGCCGATTCCACTGGAGATTCCAATGATGTCCATGAAGTAGATGACTAATCTTTGAAAGAGCGGAATTATGTGATGCTGATTGGATCGAATATGCATATTGATCCTGATATGCACAAAGAAGACTGTGCAAACCCCTGAAGAGAAATCGGAATGAATTTAGTTTCTTTTGCAATTAACAAGGGATCGGCAAATAGTTGCAACCTTTAATCTTACCGAAACCTATATCATTTGAAAGAGCGTAAAAAGTTGTGTATATGGAAGAAAAAATTAGCTGCCTAATTTATGTTTGGGCAAAGTTATGGCCGTTTTATTAAAGGGGTTATATGCGGCCAAAACGCCGGTTTCTTATATTGCAGTAATCCTGGCGGCTTGAAATTTTCTCCATAATTTCTTAGTATCCAAAAACGTCTATTACAGTCGGCTTATAGCTCTACCAACCCTCGGTTATGAGTTATTATACATTACTGCTATTTACAAAAAATTGTAAATAAAACTAGGTTAATGGGAAAATCGGAGCAAAAAGCTTTGGAAATACATTTATATGATCGTCGTGGTCATTCACAAACGAAAATTTCAAAATCGAAAATTTCTTATGTCCTAGCCTTACCAATGGTTGGTCCACTGTGTCAGCAATACTGTCTTTGGCCGATTTTACAATTTTCTCTTCGTATTTTTTCGAAAAAATGTATGATTATAGGTCATTGTAAATTGAATTATCGTACAGTAATCATAATCGGTCAGGATAGTGGCGTGAGACCCTTGTAATTATACGATAATGGCATCCCCACCCTGATCACCATCAAATTTGTGGTCGTTTCAAAAAAAACCAAAAACTCAGAAAAATCCCGTAAATATGGACTTTGTCATCGGAGGAACAAAAATTGTTTAAAAATATCAACATACCATGGTTTTGCGGCATATAAGAGATGATATGCAAAAGCTTTGCTGAGCCTGGATTCGAAACCAGGTCTTGTTGCGCCGGAAGTGAGCTCATTACCACTCGGCCAACTCTACACAACTCCGTTGCAATTCCAAGAGCTTATGAAGCGACGGGTGAAATTAGGCTAACATTTGTATTTTGGCCATAACTTTGCCCAAACATAAATTAGGCAGCTAATTTTTTCTTCAGTATACACAACTTTTCACGCTCTTTCAAATGATATAGGTTTCGTTGAGATTAAAGGTTGCAACTATTTGCCGATCCCTTGTAAGGGCAAGTTTTTTTCGAGAATCAACTTTAACTATCTTGATGACAAAGCCAACAAATTGTTTTTTCTTCATCATAATTTTTATATTGCATTATGGCAACTAAAACTCCTATTATGTAGAATGGAATGGAGACTAGACAGAAACCGGAGAATTGAATTTGATGTTTCAACTTCTTTCGCGAAAGTCTATCTCGACGCCTTTATATGATCTATCATTGATCGGCCATACTTGGAAATCCAGACATTTTTGAAGAAAAAACTCGTAACTGATGTGCAAATTTAATCTTTACAATCCCTGTTCTATCAACACCACGTCATTTTTCATCTAATGGGCATTAAAAACTTACAGAAAAATCCACCGGAACAAAGGAAGATCCCGAAAATATTGGCCTCTGGAGAAAATGCCCCGCCATCGCTGAAAAAACGAGTTTGATTACGCAAAGTGAAATCCGAAAATCTTACCTGATGTATGGCAAAAACCAGTCAGTTCTCCGCTGTATCGCAGCCAAAAAATAACCGGTGAAAAAAGCGATCAGAACTGAGATCACCGTCAAAACTGAGAATAATTTGGGATAAACTCGGATATGAGGCCGGGTCCGAGGAATCTTCGTCTTGATCCTTCTTCGCTTAGTCGATCCCGAAATGGTAACCGATGATGTGGTGCTTGTTGTGTGAGTGTCACTTTCACTTGAACTCAATGCCATAAAAGATACCAAATCATCGGAAGAAACGTTCGAAAGTCTGCTCAACATGATGAATATCGACCGGCCGAAAAGTGGAAGTAAGAAAATGATTTTAGAATCATCTTTCCAACCTTTCTGACAATTTATGTCAATAAAACAATTTTCGTATAAAATATCCCAGGCAGTCTGCAAAAATATACAGGGCGCAGCTCGGAGAAATAAAAAATCGTTGCAGATTTTTTTCAGAAATTGAAGTAGAATTTCTAGAAACGTTTCTCGAACGTTGAATTAACATGGCCAAGGTGGAGAAGCTTTTAAAACGTCTGAAGATAGCTGAAGACGACGGTAATCACTACGAGAGCCATCAGATCGCCCGGACTGTATTTTATCGATGGCTGGAGCTGGCCGAATACGAGAAATTGGCTGACTTTTTGGTGGAGAAAGTCTTGAAATTTCAACAGGGTGAGTTGGAGGGTCTGATAAAGCGGTTTATTGTTTAATTTGATTTATAATTGATTATTATTTTTATTGTTTTAGCTGGCCAACCTGCTATTGCTTTGGATCTCGCCGAATTGTATGCTGATACTCTGCTCAAATGGGAGAATGTTGTGGATGACAAGCGAGTCAGTCAAATTCAACAGGCAAGTGTTTATTTATTCCTCTTTTTTAAAATTTTTAGGTGTTGTGTTGACCTATGTTATTTATGTTGTCTCGATACGTGGTCATAAAATTGATGTGTGATGCCCGTACAAACGCTGATTTTTGTTTTCCAGATTCTCAACGCAATTCCTGGAGCTTTGGATAATGAACAGTCCAGCCATGATCGACGGGAAGGACTGATCGCAAAGTTTGTTGACTGGTCTTGTAGAACAGCTGAAGAAGATTCATTGGCTAGAAAATATGGTCATCCACAAATTCAAGAGATCATCGCTGACAGTCTAGAGGCCTCAGGACGGTGGGATCTGGCTAAACCGCACTACATCGTGTCGTTGGCGCCAGCGAAGTTGAGCCGAGTGATCAAGAATATAATTGAGAATACGGATGAGGAGACTGAATCAATGCCGCCTGATTTCTTTATCGCTAACACTGTTTTGCAGGTAAAAAATTTGTTTATATGTTTTGCGCTTTAGGTTAGTTCTGGAGGCAATTTCTGCTCTTATTTTAGGTAGCTATACCTAAAATCGGATGTTTGCAGGGATAAGGCGTATTAGCCCATGTTATGCCCTCCTGCCGTTTTGGATTGTAGAATATGCTGTGACTCCCTAATTTTTTTATTTTCAGATTGCTAACACGGGTAGAGTTGGGATGGCTATCAATTTTCTACTTTCGGTGGTTACAGAATATAAGGAGTACAATGATCATCCTCCATTTGTGTCTGCTCTTTTGAACTTCAGTTGGCTCTGCTTGATCGCGTTGAATTTGAGAAGTGTAAGGTCTTTCTATATTTTTGTTAGGTTTTTAGGATGTTGTATTATTGTCCATGACATCAGTTAGTGTTTTATGCAATTTCATGTAAATTTGCTTGCCGAAAATTGTGTGGTAGATGTTACTGTGAAACGGTACAAAGCCTCTTTTTTAGTTATCACACTTTACCGAGGTCGTTGAGGTCTACAAACCAACTATTCATCAATGCCGAAGCGTAGTCAACCTTGTTGATAAAATTGGACAAAAATTCTTTGGATTACCGCCGAGAGATGGAAACGAAGGTGCCGGAGGATTACTGGGAAATTTGCTCAAAGGTCGGTTGTCTTTTGAAATTGTGTGTTTAGTTTTTAGAAGATTTATTTACTTTTCCATCTAAAACAAGATGATTTTAGGCCTGATCTCGAAACCTTCCTCATCTCAACAGGAAAATCAATCAGTCTCCCTTCAAGTTGGCGATGATCCATTCATCACTCGATATAACTTCAATTCCGACCAATTCCACGCTGCCTTCCAAGCTGCCGAAGCCCTGAATCCCCCCATGTCAGTTGTCGAGCCCGATTTTGCTGATGCCGTGGAAGTCCAACCTCAAGCCCCTGCACAACCATCCGCTTCACAGAGCGATATGGACCTTGACTAGCGCTGCTGGATTAAGTTTGTGGGTATTCAGGCGAATTTAACGGGGTTTAATTATTATTTTACATTAGCCAGCCGGTGGTTAATGATTTTGGTCCTTTTAACTGTTTGTTGTCTTAATTAAAATTTGTTAATTGGTTGACTAGAGAACAATATTGTGAATTTATTATTAGCACTATGAATTTGTTTTATAAGTATGATTTTTTAATAAATTTTGAGTTATGAAGTCGGATTTGACATGAATAATATAATTTCTGGTAGAATTGGTGGCAAATAAGTGTGATGATAGAAAATATATTTCAAGAGTAATGTTAACAACTATTTCTTTTTGTTTTATTTCCATATTTCAACATTCTTACGACACCTCAACCCAGACTTCATCCTTTTTTCCCTCCGAGACATCACCGACTAAAGGGCAAAACAAAAAACCCTCATAAAAAGTCCATTCCCACCTGAGATAATTAATTAATTGCAAAAAGCGAGTTTTCATCGACGAAATCCGTCGATGAATTTTTCGATGGACAGGTCATTGAGGGGGATTGGAAATGGAAAGCGCTGAGTTTTCGAGGAGTTTCACTTTTGTTGCGAATTTATTTAGATTGGGGTAAAATACGAACGCAAATTATGTTCAGAATTCTTTCGATTTGTTACTGTATCCTGCCACGTTGACCATTTTACCTCAGATTTTCAGTGAATGTGATGGAAAGTGAATGGAAAACCCGTTTGAGGAACGAGAAGCAAGTAAGTCACCAGTCTTTTATAAATCGTTTCGCCGTATCGCCTAAGGCAATATTTGTCTTATTACAGTGATTTCGAGTATTAAAAATTTCATATTTTAGATTACATTCGCGTTGGTGACAATTTGCACAGTTTGCACTGTATTTAGCATAGTGATCGCGCCTTATTTGTTCAGCCAGATTCATCACTTGGACATCGAAGTTGAGGTGGGTTACTGTAATATGAAAAAAAGCTGTAGCAGGAGATCTCAATTTTCAAAATCTAGGATGAAAATTGCGTGAAACACAATTAATTTGAATTCCTTAAAATTTCTCAAAAATAACCTGCATACATATTATTTTTCTAGGACCATCACAGCTTCTGTGTGGAGCGGACCACATTACTAGTCCGGGAGATCGAGCAGTTAGAAGCGATCAAAGAGAGTCCCAGAAGAAAGCGTCAATCCGATGAAACTTCAAGTTGTTGCACCTGTGGTCAAGGGCCAGCAGGACCGCCAGGCCCACCCGGAGATGACGGAGACCCAGGTGAGTTTGGCTATAAGTGTTTTTGCAACTTCACGAACATTAGTTTTTTTCTGAATTTATATTTCATCAAATTCATTGAAATTTGGAACTAAGCCCTTCAATTTTTCAAACTTAGGTGCTGACGGAGTAGAAGGCCCTAAGGGCTCGGCTGGATCGCCTTCCTCAGCCCCATCGGATCCGAATATCGACTGGTGCTTCGATTGTCCAACTCCTCCAGCCGGCCCTCCCGGTCCACAAGGAGCCAAAGGAAACGCCGGAAAGCCCGGAAAACACGGGGATCATGGAAAGAACGGACAGCCCGGCGAACGAGGAGAAGTTGGGCCAGTCGGACCTCCAGGTAAAGCAACTATCAAACACAAAAATTGTGATATTATTTTAGGCCAGCCAGGGCCAATCGGATATCCCGGACCTCCAGGAGATCCCGGAAAGGTGGTGGAAGTTGTGGTTACCGGTGAGCCAGGGCCCGCAGGACCCCCGGGACTTCCTGGGGACAAAGGACCACCAGGAGCGCCTGGTCTGGATGGACCGGCTGGGCCTCCAGGACCCCCGGGAGACGGCCCAGGACCGCAGGGATTACCTGGAAATGATGGTGTTACCGGCTTGCAAGGCGATAATGGGCATAATGGAGCACAGGGAAGCTGCGACCATTGTCCTCCACCTGTTTTGGAGACTGGGTTCTGAGTTGAAGTCCGACCCGCCGGAAGACCTTCAGATATCCCAATTAAGACAGAAAAAAGTTGAGCTTTTATCAATATATCCTTTTTTACACATTTTTGTGTCCTCTACCCCCTTTTGGTACCTCATTTAATCAGAATTTTGGGCTATATTATCTATGTACATACGAGTGAATATTAGTAATAAAAATGCACACGGCTACTTTCATCGAAAAAATTACGCCCATGAGTAATTTCCTTCTAATAAACACAATTCGTAAAAGATTTCCCACCTAATCAGCACCCAAAATCTTTCGAAAAAATTAAATTTATTTCGATTACAAGTTTCGGAAATACAGAAAAATTACAACTTCAAATATATCATCAGACAAAATAAGATGATAAAGCGCTGAAATCTAAGTGATTTTTATAAACAAATTGCGCCAAACCGCCGTCATTTTGGCTAACTTGAAAATTCTGATACACGAAGCTTTCACAAGTCTAAATTTTCTAAAAAATCGGATCTTTTAGCAAAAATCTACAAAAATTTTCCGAAAATCTTCAATTTGACAATAAAAATGACAGAATAATTTGACGTGACGAAAATGACGACAATTTGATAACGCGACTAACGCTGACGACTTAACAACCAGAACAATTAGACAACAATAATTTATCAAAATTTCAAAAAACATTACAGGTCATCAAAATGGATACAAATCAGGCGTCGAAGAGTAACTCCAGTTCTTCGACATACTTCAGGAGGGTTTCGTTGGTTTCCTTCTCCAAGTCCGAGAGTACTCCGAGCAGCGCGAGCTTCAGAGACTTTTCCAAATCCGCGTTCTTGTCCACCAATTTCTTTGCGACCAATCCAAACGTCTGGCAATCTTTCCGATACACCGCTTCCAATTCCTTTCTCTTCGTTTCGACCGAAGATTTGAATTCTTCTGGGAACTTGGCCAGCTTATTTCTTATGATTTCTTCAGGTTTAGTGGCCAAATTCGATAACTGCAGCCCATTTGAGGAAGATTTTCTTCCGGGTTCATGACGAAGTTCGCGGATTATTTGGCTCTGTAACAAAATTAGAATAAAAATATTGTTAAAAAAGGTCTAGACTTATTTCCTTTCATTTCTTTGATGTCTTAACCTAAACTCACCAAAAAATACAAAAAGTCAACTTACTCTAATATTAAACATGGTATCAACTGCTGGTTTTTCGTCCACGATCGACGGACACCGCTCCACTGCAATCTGTCTAATGGATCTGTGGTCTGGTTCGGGTCTAGTTTCCTTGTTTAGGTCTGGTTTCCTTTCAATCTGTAAAATTCAAAATATTACTTCAGACAGCCAAAATAATCAAAATTGGAAGACATATTCTTGGAATCAAAAATGGAAGTTTAGACTCAATATATAAAACCTTTCGACAATAAACCCAATCCTTCTATTTAAAAGTCCCAACTTTTCTTCTCCACACACCTCAAAATCATCTTCATATCTTGAACCCCATCGTTTTCCTCCTTCCGAGTTGTAACCTTCATTCTCTTCATAGAAAGACCTTCTACTCTCAGGTCTTCCTTCTTCTACATTTCTATATCCAGTATCCACATCATAATAAACTTCTCCATCTTCTTCTTGCTTGATCTGCCTGGTGTGAGGCGGGGCTAGAGATCTGTAATTAATACCCGTCCAGTACTTCTCATTGCTCTTTTCATATCTTTGAACGATTTCGTCATCCTCCCTTTGAGTCATTCTCTTCCCCATTTCCTCGTATTCTGGGGGATTTCTCCTTGAATTTGATGGATCTCTGGTGCCATTATAATACCGTTGATTCTGTCCTTGGCCCTCCGAGGAGTGAAACGCCGAATATCTTCCAGAATGGATAACAGGATCTCTTCCGTATAGACCTTGATAACCACGTCTTCTGGGATCATTATCATATGAATTTGAAGTCCCAAATTCTCGATGTCTTCTGCTCAAACTTTGATTTCTCGGAGTTGAGGTTGGATGAAAATTCTCATATCTCTCGGCGATTCTGTTTCTGCTGGAACTTCTCGGTCTTCCCAACAAACCTGGATCGGCTTCTTCTCTAAACTCGTTTCTTTCTGGGAGCTTTTCCAACTTTTTATATTCTCCTTGAGGGACGGGTCCCAGATTTTTCTGGTATTTCCACAAATCTTCAGTTCTTACATTCGACTGTTCTTTATAGTACCTGCGGGACCAGATGGGTTCTTCTTGCCAGTTTTGTCTTTCATTTTCCTTCTCCTTAACATCAAATTGATTCATCCGAGCGTTTCGATCTTCTCCTTCAAATCCCTTGTTCACTTCGATTCCTTTCGATGACAAATTTCGGCTCGACCCATCAGAAATTGGAATCGATTGATACCGTGGTCCCTGCGATTGACTTCTCGGATCTTTCCTTGAATTTTCCATCATCGGGGATACCGGGAAGCTGTGGGCAAATCCTACACCATCCTGGCGTCCAACATTCCCAGCACCCATCTTCTGTTCCTCTCTTCTTCTGAGCCTTGGATCAGTTGGAACTTGCCTTTCCAGAGGCTTCAGCTGACCACTTTCAGCTTCACCGGGCATATTACTACTTCTCTGAGGCTCCATTCCTCTTCTCAGCCTCGGGTCCGTCGGGATATTCGTCGTGTTTATGTTGCTTCTCACGTCAGTACGTTGTACTTGACCTTTTTCCACCTCCCTTCGTTTCAATCTTGGGTCGGCTGGCCTCTTGAACGTATTTTCACTCCATTCCTGCCCTCTAACACCTTCCCCATTATCGTGTCTGGGGAATGAATCAGTACTTCTTGGGTTAATTGGTGCCGATTGAGAAAATGAAGGATACCTAGAACATGATAAATCAGAAGACTGGTTCTGAGGTAAGAACGGATCCAACCGCTGTTCCCTTTCAGGCTGTTCAAACCTTCTCTGAGGCCCTCCTTTCTCCGTGCGATCCCTTCTATTATCCCTTTTTCTTCTGGCACTTCTCATCTCCTCTTCAGTCTTCCTAATAATCTTGACGGTGCATTTACCAGTCTTAGTTGCAGTTGCCGAAGATGGAGTCTCACTTCCAGTAGAACTAGGGATATTAGCATTCATTGTTTCATCATCTTCAGGCTCCATTTTCACCTTGATAGCAGCAGGACTTTTCTGGCTAATCTTTTGGAATAAGACTTGTAATTCTTCATCAACGCCCTCCAAATGGCTTCCACTTCCCGATTTATCATTTGAAAGGCCCGAAGCATCATTAGAAATGCCAGAACCACCCGCACGCTCTCTTTCTCCTTGATAGCCGAGATCCGGATCTTCTTGATTAGCCAATTCCGATTGATAAAACTCCGGAGGACAAGTAGACCCCGCCATATTACCGTCTGAATCTCCGTCGCAACTCAAGGCATCATATGGATTGTAAAGAGACGATTCGTTCGATCCATTATATTCATCATGATCACCAGATAAATTAATTCTTTTTCGGTCCCCAGAAAAGTTGCTAACATTGCTAAAGCCGTCATTGGACTTATAAATCCCTTTTTTCTTCAAAAGACTTGTGAGAGCATTGGGGAGAAAGACATCGGGGTAATCAGGTCTAGTGATCGAGATCTCCTGGGCCACCCGAACAGCCCTGTCCAGTGCGGAGTCCTGGACAAAAGACGGGTTAGACAGACTATGTGACTCACGAGGGTTAGATCTAGACAATGTAGACAACCTTACCTTTTCTTCGTTGTCCGAGATCCCAGAAATGTCCATGGAATCGTCGACCCGCTTGGATTCGGGTTTTTTGGCCGGAGAATGAGCAGCTGATCCTGGTTTTGAATGTTGAGAACGTGATTCAGGTCTGGAAGAACGTCTGGAATGAGCTGATGAACCACTGGATGAGGAAGACGATGAAGAGTCACGACGTTTACGCTTTCGACGGCTCTAAAACAATACGACGTTTATATCGTGGTTAAAGAAAAGAGGTAATATAACAAGGATCGAAAGGAAGCCTACTTCATCCTCGCTGTCACTGCCATCTCTGGATCCTCTTCGGGAACGAGACCTTCTACCATCACGCCTTCGTGGTGCATCATGTCGCTCATTCCTACCACCTAAAAATCAACAATAAATAGAGAAAAATCATACCTTTAACATGCGCGACGTATCGACGAATATCTCTGTACCAAGTCACTTCAAGTTCGTATCCCCACAACTTTCCGTCCTTGTATCTAAAAAATTTCATTATACCTGATGCGATATAAAAAATCCATAATGGTAAAGTAAACAGCATGAAACTTACTTATCCATGCATTTTGCGGCATCATCCTTCGAATCGAACCTCACGGCAACAAACGTTCTCTCCGGAGTGTTCTTGTAGAAGTCGATAATACATGGTCCAATCTCGTCTTGAAAATGGTCTCTAAAACATTAGAACTCCAAATAAACGGCCACAAAACACGTCAAGAACAACAAGGAGGATCTCAGCTTTGCGAAGATGCCATACTCTTCAATCAAACGCTCGAAATTTTCGTCGAAATCAGCGATTTCCATCAGCTCGCCATGTATAATATACCATGAGTAAGGTAAACGTAAAATTAACTGGTTTTTGAATGAAATACGATTATATCCAAGGATAGTCGGACTAACTAGACCGATAAAACCATATTATAGCAGTAAACAACGTCTTCAATGTGCATTATATTAAGCAGGAGTCTTAAACACCTACTTGATCTTCTCTGAAGAAATGTCTGGACCAAAACCACGGAAAAAGACAGCATGGCGACTCTCTGGCACCTCCTTTTCATTTACTCGTTCATCCATCCGTTGGCGTCCATTGCGACGGAAGTTGTCGCGATCTCGAAAATTCTGGCGATAATCGTTGTAAGGCATCGCTTTTCCAGTAAGGCTAACTCAAGCTGAACCAATAAAGGTAACTACACGGCTGTAAAACGATAGTATCTGAATCTTGATAGCAGAAAGCCCGCGAATTCAGCTTTGGAAAACGTAAAACACTGGGTGAAAACAAAACATCTCTGTTTTGGGCAGAAATTCTAGAAAATGCGTCAGCGCGACGTTCACTGCATAACGCGATAGAAGTAGAAATCAAATTAGACTTGCCAAATATGTTACAAGGAAGGTATAAAAAGTAGGGCCCTTTCGTATCCCAAAATTCTCGCTATGTCTTCCATGTCATGATGACGAGGAAAAGACATTGTTTTAATGCTAATACCGGAGAAAATTTGATGCAATATGAATCGTTATCACGTTACAAGCCGATTTCTAAACAAATACTACGGGCAGAGGGGCGGGTCTTTGAACGTCAAAAGAGATTTGTCATTATGAGGCATTTCTTGGAAATGGCGGTAGTAGGACAAGCAGGGCTAACATGGCACAGAATATGAGTGCGAAGATGCAATGAATACTAACTACAACCTAATAAAACAAGGTGTAAATGAAGTGTCAGAAGTGCTTAAAATGAGTTTTTTAGTAAAATGGAAGTCATTCGCTACCAGACTACCATAGCAACCAAACCAACTACAAATTACATCTGAATTATTTTTTACTTGTCTTGGAATGCGCCGCGCAGCGGAATGTCACGTAACATAAAAGTTTTGGGCCAAATAAACATATAGTATGCATATTACCATCAGTCTAAAAAATTAACAAAAACTAAAATCCAGGTAGTTTCCAACGATTTCAAATCAATTTTACATCAAACAAGTAATTTATAAACATTCTATTTACATATTTTATACTATGATGACTAATAAAAATCAGCTTTCAATTTCTAGCTTTTAACAATTTTCTCGGTTTATTGAGTAGCTTGTTGATCCTATCGCGGAATGTGGGTTTTACCACAGCAATCATCACCGGAACATCAACCACTGGAACTTCTACATCACCCTCCTCTTCATCAAATTCTTTGGCATATGGGGCAACATCAGGCTCAGCATCCGGTAAAAACGTGTGCTGATGACAAGAACAAGCTCGCTCTCTCTAAAAACGAAACAAAAAATGATTACAAGATAAAATCTACCATAATCATGTCCTCGATGTCTTCCTCGATTGTCGGATGGATAAAATCCTCAAAAACTTTGACAAATTCAGGCAGTTTCAGTCCTCGAAGTTGACTGTCCTCCTTTTCTTCGATCCCATTAGACGGTCCAGTGCCTGTGGAGACTGTATCATCAGAGGATTTGCGTTGAATATCTTTGGGAATGTCAGCCTCCAATATTGTAATCGACTTCTTTTTTCGCCGCTTCAGAGGCACGACTGCTGCCAAATCAACGACTTTGCGACGCCAATGTAGCAAGGAGTTGAGCATCGAGGAAAGCGAGTCAGTACTTCGTTGGGTCTTACAGCTTATTTTTCGGTTGTTTTCCAGAGCTGAAAATGGGCATGGACAATATGACAGAAGGGTGATATTATACCCCAATAAGAAGCAGCGAATGCACCCTTGCTAAATTACTGCTTCAACAAATGTCTAAAGTAATATCGAAATTCTTCAACTCTCTAAAAAGCAAAACCCAGAAGAGTTAAAATACTTACTACTAGACACAATGGACACTTTCGGGCCATTATCTTCGCTGCGTAAATGTTCCACATCATCAAACTCATTAAAATTATCCAAACTCGGGTCTGATCGATGCTTCCTAACCTTCTCTGTTCGACTCAATCCATTCAAATTAGAGGATGTACTCGACTGAGCAATGAAAGACGGAGCACTAATCTTTGGTCTGATCATATTTGTAAACCTTTCTTCAATAGTGAATTTGTTTATTGTATCATTTGAAGTTTGAAATCCATCGTCGTCTGAAAGTTCTTCCAATTTCCTCTCTTCTTGAAGATGATAGAGCTCTTCCATGACTGGCTCCATTCGGTACGGAGCACCGGCTTTCTTTGCTCCGAGCACCGCCAATCGATGGTTGTCGTTTTGATAATCGTATACCTAAACTAATATGAAACGAAAAAGAAAGCTAAACTTACCGGAAGCCCATCCATACATTGCGCAACGTATTTTATAAACCTCCGGAACTCCAGCTCCTGGTCATCAGGACGAACATCAACAATCTCCGGGACATCATCGTTTATATTGTCCTTGGGGATCCTTCGACTAAAAGTTTTCGCAATCTGCTTTTTCTTCGGGAAATTGAAGTTAAACCCATTGGTAAAACTTTGTGATGGCTGAACACGACCATCAGAATGTTCATCATCGCCATTCTCGGCCTCTTCATCTATCTAAGCATAAAAAAATAAGAAAATGTAAACAATTTCAATCATAGTATAATATTAATACAAACTGGGCAATTCTTAAGCTAAACTCATAGAAGGAAAAGCTTTTTTACCTTATGAAAACCATAATGAGCCATCTTTATAGCAAATTAAAGCGAATGTAGGTACAAAACAAGATATATTTGACAATTTAGATATGAAGAAAGTGAATGAAAGCGAATAGGTATTTGGAGATCACAGAGTCTATTTCAGCATCTTGTGTTTTACATCAAAAAAATGTTACCAATTTCCACGGAAACGAGAAAAAAAACCAATAATATTTACGACGAAATGTCAAAATTGATTGAATTTGTCAGCCAATGGTCTACTTATCCGTCGCGACGACGGCCGTCGATCATTTCCAATGGCTGTTCGTTCGGCAATTAAAGATTACAAATTTTAGTAAATTCTTTATCAATACATGACCTTATAGATAATATTAATTTCCATCACATAAATTAACATGGTAATTATAAACTAGCTTTTACAAAATTTGATAGTTATCAGTGTTCAGTCTCGTCTCCTTGCTGTAAGCAACTGGCTCTCCGGCCTCGAAAGTCGTCACGTTTGTAACAGCCAAGTCCACATACAAATCGGAAGAAGAGAAGACCACATTAACCGGGAAGAAGTGCTCCGTATCTCCGTTCGGAACTTCAAATTCCAAGGTTCCAGTCTCATTGGTCTCATCGATGGATGCTATGGACCAAACAAGGGTACTCTTCGACTTCAAATACTCATAATCACCGTCACATTCGGATACAATTGGAGCCGTGGAAGGTCTAAATATGATTCATAAAAAAAAATAAAATAAAAACTTACGGTAGAGGGATCGCAATTTTTACATTTTCGAGTGTCATGTTTTTCCTTGTCAGTGTATACTCAACACTAACAGCAACCCCAGGAGACAACTGGTTGGGCCAACAGGTAACTAAAAAATAAATTCAGAAAAACGTTCAGAAACTCACTATTTAACGGAAGTTCATCCTCGGAAGGCAAAGGAAGTATCCATTTGAGGACCCCGATGTCTGTGTTCGGTGGGAATGGTTTGTTCACATTCTTCAGCTTCAGGACAGAGTCCGTCTGCCAAGTCTTACGGTCCAGATTTGGATGAACTTGGAGTTTTGCCTCACTTTGACTTTGGTTTTGAATGTGGATCGCACTAGTCGTGAAAGCAGGATCCGAGATATTCAATGACACACTGCCTTGGATCTCCGCCGACTTTAAACCTCCACCACGCAGAATTTGGGCACTAAGTTTCTCGGTTATCTTAACATGAACTGGCTCTCTGCGAACGTTGACTTCTGGGATTACATCAGCAACGCGATCGAGTTTCTGAAACAATTAGGGTCTAAATTGCACGCTACTTCTTACACTAGGAGCATCGGAGACATTTTGTCCCTCTTGTCGAAGCTGCTGAAGGAAAGAGTCTTCTGAAGCGCCTTTGGCCCCCAACTTGAGGGCTTTTCCAGATCCTCCAGTCTTTGGTTTTCCCTTGAATGGATCGGCAGAAGCAGATCCAAAATCAGTCGAAGCGATTGGGGCCTTGAATGGAGCTGCCGGAGTGGACGAAGCACCAGACTGAGCAGTCCGTCCAAATCCTCCTTGGAACCCACCGGAAACCCCACCCATTGCCTTCTTCTTCGCCTTCATTTCCTTGGCCTTCTCCAACATATTATTCTTAGCCGCTTTTTGTTGAGCCTAAACCAAGTACATAATAAAAAATAACGCAACGTACAATCTGGATCTGGTTAAAGATTCTTTCTTCATGAGAATCCATCTCGGTAAATGTTCTAATTTGAGCAAGATTGACCGATTCTCTGTAGCCCAGCACTACTACCTCATCAAAAGCCGCAATCAACTCAAAAACATTGTTGAAAACTTCGGACTCGTCGTTCGATCGGCAATATTCAGGGATCTAAATCGAAAAATACATGAATCAAACAGTAAATCGCTTACGATCCTAGCAAACAACCGCAGACAATCGAGATCCTCCATAATATTGGACGTTTTCGTAGTAATAAGCGCCAAATAAATCTTGTCCATTGGTTGATACACATATCTGACAGAATCAGTTTCGACGTACGTATGCTCCTTTTGGTCTAAATATAAATAAAAAAATTTCAACATAACGTACTTTTCTCACTAATGACCAACTTGGGGAACGTGTCGACAAGTCCTTGAAGACGGGCCTTGGTCAGCTCAGACAGAAATTGCCGGCATAGCAGCACTGAAACAATACCAATTAGATAATAATGAGAGTTCACCTTTCTGCATATATAAAACTTACATTTTCCGTTCTTGCTGTAAATAGCGGCTGCAATTAACACCATGATGAACTAAAATATCGAAAATTATATAAGAAACAACCTCAACAAGCACCAAACGACAGGATATTATCTAGCATGGAATTCCACGTCACGTCAAAAAAAAGTTTTCAGAAAACTGGAAAAATGTCAGAAATCCAAAGCTATTGATTTTTTGCGAAGTGTCACAGATATAAACTCTTCCTAGTGCGGAATGCCAAGAATTTCTCCGTTTTGCCAAAACACCGGGAAACGACACCAACCATTCTATCATAGAATTTCTATGATAGCAGGAAAGATGGTTCATCGGAATATTAAAGTCGAGATAATTATGTTACTGTTGAAAGGCAAGTTTTGTAAAATACGCTCTTTGGAACTTGGAATGCACATATCTCATAAATAAGTCCTCCAAAACAAGTGACGGCCCAGAGTGATCGCCTTATCATCCAGCACTTATTGCGTCGCCCGTTGTGGCCTTGCCCGGCTGTTTTAATCTCTATTTGGACCGGCGGTTTTGATAGCGCTTGACAAGTGATTGGGAAACGGGAAAAACGAACCAGGCCTTGCTTTCATGGTAAATTAATGTTGTTTTAGAAGTTTGAAGTAAAGGTTGGTCGGGGCTTCGGTAGTTCAGCCCCCCACGAAAGGTAGTTCAAACCCCACCTGTTTTGCCCGTTTCACACCCCACATAATGAACAAATTAGAATAATACAAAAAATGTAAGTGGGGGTTTGATCTACTACGTTGGGGGTTTGATCTAAAACGTAGGGGGCTTGATCTAAAACGTAAGGGGCTTCATCTAAAACGTATGGGGCTTTATTTAAAACGTAGGGGGCTTCATCTAAAACGTAGGGGGCTTGTGCTGGACCATACAACTTGGATTACTTCTTTGAAATAAATTTTGGGGTTCAGAATGGACGAGGGGGGTTGTACTGGGTCATGGGGGGCTAAACTGGACTGAGGGGCTGTACTACCTTAGCCCCGGTTGGTCTACGGTTTAAGATTATCGAAGTCTTGGGGCTACCGTTTGGCTGTGTTATGGTTTCAGCGGTATTCGTCAGTAAAACATTATAATAAGAGGGATTCCGAGTAAATTAAAACTTTTTTGCTTATTATGTTCATTGATGCCCATGTCGAATTTTTTGTCCTGCACAAATTCTCCGGGTGTGAATAATTCTTGCCACTGTGCTGTTCCAAACAACCCCTCTTGTATCATTGATGTAATTCACCTTACAGTACCCCAAATCTAATTTCTTGTTCCATCATTTTTGCCTCCGCACCTTTCGTCAAACCTCAATTGTCATTCTCCTCGACTTTATGTGTCCTCTAATTGACAGCTTTTGTGCCCCAAGACTTGCCTGTAAACCGCCGGGCGAAGGCAGGGCAGAAGGAAGTTAATCAAGCGAGAGGGAATACAAAACCTACAGGAATATTTTTGTTATTTCCACATCAAGTGTTTACAGGTTTGATGTAATGGCGGGGACAGAATAGACGAGAGAAATGTGATTTCGGCGGCAAGTCAAAACCAAAAAAATCTCAAAAAGGGATCGTGAGGACTGTTTAATATCAATATGTATCCACAGGCAGAGATTTGGAAGAGGGTTCAGTTTACACTTCTATGGCTAAGATTTTAGAACTCAAAAAATGTCTCACGTGTAAGATTAGGTCTTCAGTATCTTAAAAGTTGGCTAACTAAATGATAAGTGCATAATTTCATCAGGATCTGAAGGTTGACGCTCGAGGAAACCCGTTGTCAAATGGCCTTTTGTGGAACTAGAGATTTATACAATTTTTTTATAATTTCAGTTCCTTCATGACCACCATGGATGGAATTTCCATGTTGGTCATGGAGGCCACAAGTATCCTAATAGAACCCTTGAAGATTTTTCGATTTCTTTATTTTCTTGCCTCCCAAGTCCCCTAAATACCATAAACTTTCCTCATTGTCCCAGCCTCCTCATCATTGTGCCATAAACCTCTTATTTCCTTCCAAAACCCTCCTAAACCAACCGGTTGCATTGTACAGTCCCCTATTCTCCAACTTTCCCAATTACAAACCGTAGGCCGTTCCTTTTCGCCCTCGCTCTCTACCCAATGGCCTTTAATCGGTCCCACACGTCCCCAAAAAACAAGAGTGCGTTCGCCCATCAAATTGGAATTGCGAGGGGCAAAGGACGGAGAGAGAAAAATTACAGTTCCGACCGAAGGTTGGGCGAGAGAATGGGGGACTGGCCCGCAGGCCATAAAAGTTTCAAAGGGGGTCTCCAATTTTTGGCGAGTAATGACTATGGTGAATATTATGTGAGTGAAAGGTTATTTCAGTTTAGAATTTGGAAGAGATTCTTTGTGGTTCTGATAGAGATTTGGGGTTGGGTTTTGATTTTTATCAACGCTGAATCATCAAATCGTGATAATTTTTGGCGAGCTGGCAATAAATGATTTAAAAATGGAGTGGCAATTAATCAGAGTTTAACTGTAAGTGTGCTGGCAACCGGAATGGCAAAGCGTGATCGTCATTTGTGTTAGGTTGCTGTGAAATCAAAAAAATAAGTCACAAGCCCATAAATTTTTAAAATCAGTTGTCAAAACTTCAATTTATTGCTCAAATTGACTCGAAATGTATCAATGACAAATTGAACAGCCAATGTTTTAAAGCAGAGTCAAATGCAAGGCCTGTATGCTTATTGAAGTCTCTCGTAATCGCGCCATGTCGAGAAAAGTCGAAAAGATCACGGAGACCTCGCAGAGAAATGGCTCTCGGTATGACAAAGATCTCGCAGCCGAATTCAGCTTTACAGTAGCCATTAACTCGTCTCTCTTTGCATTATGCATCTATTTTTAATCACTGATCTCTCTATTCTGCTTTGTGACGTCATAAATCTCCACTTTCTTGTTATTCCATTCCACGCTCAGGTGCCTCAAGATGTGTTTATTATCATCTTCGGGTTCCACCTTTTTCAAAAGTTTTTTTTTTTATCATTCTCTCCTTTCCTTGGCCCAATCGTCAACACTTTCATCGACTCAGGTCGCCGAAATGAGTGTAAAATCGTTGGAATCAAAGTCCCCAAAACACATCGCGACCCACCCTGATTAGGGCCCGAAGAGAAGAGACAAGAGAGACTGTCGCCCCCCATCCCCATCAAGCGGCGGGTTTTCGAAATTGCTGGCCTCGGGCCCATTTACTGTTTTTGTCGAAGTTCCAGCGGTGGGGACTGTAAAATTGGGGGTTGTTTTGTTGGATTTTGTGTTGTGCGGGTGCAGCTCTGGCGAGCGAGATGTCATGGGTCTGGAATGGTCGATGGATCGGTTTAAATTTTTTGCCTTTTACGGCTTTAGCAGATAATTTATTAAATATTGTGAAATATACTTTCGCTTTACAAGCTTTGCGCAATTCATAGAAAAGTTTTTTACATGAGTCATCAATTTTGATGGATAATATTTTCTAGTGAACATTTTGTGAGCGAAAATAAAACGGAGGACAAAAATTTGGCCAATAGACGAGGCCAGAGAGCCTTTCAGAGTCTCACTTCTTGAGAGATACGATAACTTTGTAAACAGTTTCTGCATGGTTCTAAAAATCTCAGACATGTCTTATTTTTAGAAAATTTCGTTCTAATTGTAAGCTTTGTCAAGGTATGTAAAAATTTCTTACAAAACATTTTTTCGTCGAGCTTTCATTTCCCGATTTCCTAATCCAAAACATATATCGTCCCTCGGTAGACTCCAATCTCGAGGCACTGATCAGAAAGAATAAAAAGAATCCCCCACCGCGGTATCTCGCTGAGCCTTGACCACTCGAATCCCATTGGAAACCGGTCAAGCCTTTGATTTGGGACCGATTTCGAATCGGAATTAGGCTCTTGCGCAAAGAGCGGGGGGAATGAAAATCGCTTCGGGCATTCCATTAAAGGGAAGGTCGTCCAATAAATACTGTCCTTTGGGCGTTTACCGACCAAAGCGATGGAAAAAAGTTTTTGTAAAGCCGTTACTTGGCACATTAGGAACATTAGAGGAGTTTAAGAATTTACAGTAGCCATCAAGGAAATTGGTTTCCGAATTTTAAGGTTTTTGAAGAAAATGATGACTAAAACAGAAGGTAAAGAAATTGTGAGAGTTTTGCATGAAATCTGGCACAACGGATTGGAATTTTCTGAGACGTATGCAAAGCCTTATTTTTTCCCTATCCTTGAAAATCGAATTTCAATTACTGAAGTTTTCACGGATTTTCCAATTCTATTTACCACAAAATCCGATTCATCCGAATGCCAGGGGCTCTCCAAATAATTGCTGACCACTTGAAAATCGTCCCCAAGGCCATCGGCGGTGACCTGCCACCGCCAACCTGTCGCCCATCCAATGCAATGGGCCGCAAATGGCCTTGGAAAAAGAGAGGGACCCGCACACATTTTTGGGAACCGACCTGATTGCTGGTTGCCAGCTGGGCCTAAAATGGGAAAGATTGCATGGAAAATGTTTTGAAGGGCCAACAAAGCAAATTAATTTGATTTTTAAAAAGTTTTAGGGCCAAAGCTAGATTTTATAATCGGAACTTTATGACCAAATAAAAATAACAGTGTTTTTTAATGTCAAAAGAGTTTCTAATTGAAGTTTATGAAGTTGTTGGCGCGTTTCTGCGGAATAGCAAAACTAAAGGGCTCTTTGGCCTCGTTCATTGGCCACATTTCGGGCCATTTTTTCTTTCCTTTCGATTCAAAGTTGTCTTTGGCCAAACAGCAGCGCTTTAGTTTTCTTTGATCGCATTTTTTAGCCTTTGGATTCATTTCTGAAACATTAATGGCAAAATTTGTATTCGACAAACGTATTTTACATTGCTTGAATTTATCGTATGTATAAAGGACTCAAAGGTTTCTTGGCCTTGGGTCCTCTCTGCAAACCTGTTGGCGTCCTTTTTTTGAATCAAAAACGGTTCGCAATAGGAAACGGTGCACTTTTCTGTGGCCTTGTCGGGATGAATTTCGCGTCAAACTTTCGTCAAACTTTGACTAACATTTTCGAAAATTGTAAGGGCTTCGTCAATAGATTTTTGGAGCTTAGAACAAAACCTTTTGAATTATTTTGGTCATAAAATATGTTACGTTTAATTTGGACAGTTAAATTGGCCAGAAATTAAATTAATATTTTTTTCGCTTTTTTGTTGATTTTCCATTTTAATGAATGTGTATTTTACAATTTTTTCCTCTCGAAAAATACGCTTCCCAAAAGTCGGCAAACTTTTCATTCCTTGGCCACGAAAGATCAAGAATAATATGCCGAGATGAGGGCCCCAAAAAAGGCCTTTTCCTTACAAAATATAAGTGATTGCGCGATGTTTCCGCACCATTCCATTTGTGGCCTGAACAACGTCGCGGGCCGGCGGAAATGAGCCACAAGGATGGACATTGTTTTGGGATGAGTGTGCCGCCAAAAATGAGTGGTTCCAGACAAAAGAATGAGGGCTGAAAGTTGGGCGAAGGGGGCTCGGGATGGGCCGAGGGTGACTTTAATTGCAATGGAGAGGTAGGGTCTGCGAAGAAAAAGGGTTCTGTACTTTCTGCATAACGCGGTTGATAATTTCAATTTGTTATTGGAGCAACGTTTTTTAACATATTTTTTGGAATTTTTTACGCCAATAACGGAACCGGAAATAAAAAGTAATTTTTTTCTTTCTAAAAAATATTTTTTTTCTTAGCTGTTGCAGAGCCCAAATTTGTCCTCAAAATCTCTCCACACTCCCCGTTCTCAAATATTTGCCTGATCCCATTTTCATTATCCCAATTTACGCGCTTCTGTCTCTCATGTTTACCTCACTGCCCCCACAAATTTTTGCCAAGGACAATGGCGATTAATGCGCGAGGATTTGCAGGAATCTCGAGGCCAGGAAATGAGTCAACAGTTTGGGGATGTTTGCACGACCTTGGCAAGAAGATTAGCGAGGCCAATGATTCCTCGACTTGCAAATTGGGCCGGGCGTCTGGATCGGGGGAAAAGCGGGCTTTTGGCCAGATTTGGACAAAAAAATTATGGGAGATTTTGTTGTGATTTTTACGACTTTTGTGAGGTAAAAACACAATTAACTGGAAATTTATTAGAACTTTTTTATTTTAGGGTGCCGCAAATAAACTACAGGAAATGAAACAAATTTTATTTTTGCCCCAGAATTTTTTTCTCATGTGTTTTCGGAATTTTAAATTGATTGTTTTGTATTTGCAAAAAAATTCTCCCCAAAAATCGCATCTTCCCCTCCAAAATCTCGTTTCCCTTTTCCATACTTCTTCAATTAGCGCTGTTTCCCCTTGACTTCCTCTATTGTAATCTCTGGCCAAATCTGGGCATAATTCGCCACCCAAATCTTGACCTTCGCCCATTCATTGTGTCGCGACCATATTCGACCATGGCCTTGGCTGTCCGGAGAGTTTATTGCGATCCGACAGGTCCCCAAGAAGTTTGTTGGAGTCCGCACCTTTTCGTGGCGGTCCTTTCAGCCCAGAGAACATGGCCCGTTTTTATGGCTCAAACAAAACGGATGACAATGGAATGCTGAATGGGGGATCATGATGACAAGAGCAGAGTTTATATCTTGTCGCGAGTCATGTTCGACGATTGGACCTGCTTTTGGAGGAGTTTATGCTAATTTAAGGAAGATTTAGAGGAGGTTGAAAGGCTTATGCGTTGTGTTCTTATTCATAACAAAATTTCGATCGCCTAAGAAGTGTTAGAACAGGTTTTGCCGATGTTTGGGCCGCGAGTTGACAAAGATAATGTAATATTTTTTAGGTGTAGAAATTATTAAAATAAGGTCTGAACCCAATTCCCTAATTTCTTTTTAAACTTTTTTTTAATTTAAAAAAGTTATGTTACCGCGTAGCACATAATTACTAATCTTGAATATCCAAAAAAATTAAATTTTTTTGGGGTTGACCTCAAGATGGCTAAGATAAGATTCAAACATTTTAGATTCCCGCTTAGTTTATGTCAGCTTTCTTAATTTTAATTCTTTGAAATTACTTATCTATTATATTACTATTATACAAAAGGTCCACCTTGGTACTTCCATTCGACCCCTCATTCCCGAGCCTTAAAGCCAATTTCCCGCTCCCTCTACTGTACATTTCAAAATACCATTTCTCTTGCCCAAACACAGCCAGGCCCTTCTGAAATTTGCTCGCCTAGGACCCGCCTTGAGCCATGTAGTTCGACTTGTTTGTTGTCGCGGCCCCCTTCCTTCCCACCCCGTCTTTTCCACCTTTCCCTGAATTGGCCTCGACTTGAAGACCGACCTTTTTCGGTCCGAAAACAACTTTTTCAATCACTAATTTTGTGTGTCTGTAATCACTTGTTCAGACTTAATTCGTGCCTTTTCTAAAATTGTGGGGATGTTAACTTCAAATTACAGGTCTTTGAGATTTTTGAGGATTTTTTTGGCAATACAAGATTTTTTCACAAAAAATATTTATAAATATTATAGTTGGTGCATTCCCAAAAATCAGTTTTACGGCCCGCCACTCCCATATTTGGCCCCATTCATGGGCTTTGGCCACGCGACAAAACCCGTGTTTGATCCCTTTCCGCTCTCCTTTTCCTTTGATGAATCGCACCTTTTCCGAGACTCTCTTTGGTTTTGATTACTTTGGCCCGACTCCTTTTTATGGCCCATGGTTTGTAAGAATTTTATGAGCGCTTCATCCCGGCCTTGCCCATTCATTAAGGCCGTATAAGACGCGTTGATTGCCGGGTAGCTGAAATGAAAGGCAACAAGAGTCGGTCTGATCGTCCTTATCGCTGCAACGGATCTGCAATTTTGGCCAACGACCTTCACGACTCGTTGATCACAGTCGGAGGCCTTCTTTTGGGCCTCGACGGCAGCCGGGTGGGACGCTTTTCGGGCCCATCTGACTTTGATTGGCCGTTTGGGAGAGGGGACTTACTTGGCCTTGGACGAATCGGGGACTCGTTTGAAATTTTTGGAAGAAAATTGATTGGAGAGACAGTTGTCTTTTGATCTTTTAGGCTAATTAGCAACCCTATGTTGTCTTGAAATTTTTTTTCGTATTTTACAATTTCAATTGAAAATTTCCTTTTACGGCCGAGGTTTCCATTATTTTGCTGTGCTTTACATTTCCAATAAGTATGAGGCCCATTATCCCCCATTCCTCCCTTACTCACCTCAGCACCCAAGTGCAACCGAAAACCCGAGGCCTCACCGATTGGGCCCCTCCCTTCTCCTCAAATGGGCCCATGTATTTCGTCGGAATCCGTTCCCCATGATTTGTCGCCTTTTTTGTCCCCACCACCACTTCTTGTCTCTGTTTGATTGGGGCCGGAAGCCGCACTCTCTCCTCCTCGCCCGCCGCCATCGCTCAGCCCACCACTGAGTTGGCTGTTTGAGTTGGGCCGCGATCAGGCGAAAAGAGGGCCTCAGGGAGCAAATGCGTCGAACAGAAGGAATGGGGATACTTTTTTTGGTTGGGGTTGGCTATGGCAGGTGACAAGTTTGGTGGGAGTGCAAGGCTTGATTTTGTAATCGTTGGGGAACGTAAACTGGCCGTAAATACACATTCTGGCAGGAGCGTGCTTATTGTTTGCTTCTAACCAAGTCAGAGGGCCGCTAAAAACTTTAAGACCACACTTTTTAGTTCTTTAGGCCCTTAGAAATGGACCTTCGCCCAGTTTGGACCATCTTCCTTTGATTTCCCCAATACTCTTTCCAAATCGCTACTCCCATCCACGCCCATCGTATATTGCCATAAACACAATTGTAAACTCTCCTTTTTTCTCTCCCCGCCAAGTCCCACTTAATTGTTCGGTTCATGAACTTTGAGTGCGGTAATTTTGCGAGTCTCTCATTTCACCGGCATCCCGCCGCTCTTTGTGGCGCATCTCATTGTCCTGGCCTTAATTAATGGCCAAGTTGGAGCATTGCGGTAGGAAAGCAATTTCTGCATGGTTTTTTCTTTGATCCAGAGATTTGTATATAAATTTTTGTTTAGTGATTATTCAGCAAACCACAAATTTATTTTAATTTCATCATGCCCCAAGCAATGTATCTTGAAGCCACCATTAGTGACGACGAGAAAACACGGGGAATTAGACCATTTTAACTATTACTCTCTTCTTTCTCCGTCGACGGCCCGTTGACCCAATTTTTCAGCTGTTTTTAAATCGGACACGCTCTAGGGGGTACGGAATTCCTTCGAAACGGCGCCAGAAGAGAGAAGAGACAAATCGCCAAAAGAAATGGGCTGCCCAAATTGCCATACTAATTGGTGGGGAGGACGAAATGCAAAACGTAGAAAAATGATGATTTTGACTCTCCAATTACTTGCGAATTAAAAGAAACCATTGAACATTGCCAAGCCTTGAAGTCCTATGTTTTACAAATACCAATCTTTCAAACTGCTCTAAACAATATGTTAATGTCTGGTCTTTGATCCCAATTTTCCAACCGTATACCGCCTAAAACGAGTCCCAGACCCCCTGACTCGGCCATTTTATCCCTCTTTCCGCCTACTGTCCCTTGATCCGTCGCCTCGCAGCCACATTGTTTTCGGGCTAAATCCCAGATCAATAGGCGGATTTCGGGCTGGCCTCTCTGATGTGAGTCAGGGGCAGCGCTTGGCTGTCGCAGAGGAAGAGGGGCTTTCTGTCGTTGACAATTGATCAGGGGAAACAGGACCCTTAGGGCTTGAAGAAGAAGACCCTTCGTCGCTGGAATTGGCTTGCCTTTTTTTTTATTAATCCAGCTTTACGTTGTGTTCTACATTTTGTTCGTGAACTTTACATACACATTTTATGCGTTCTGTATTTGCAATACCATAAGGGTCTTTTTTCAGAAACTTTGCCATCAAACACTTCTTCATCCGTCTCGAGATTCGATAGGTTTTGGAGAGCTTGACAAAAATCGCTGGGATCTCAAAACTTGTGGAATCCGGACTCGAAAGGGGAATATGTTTTAAGTGAGTGGGTGAGAGAAGGAACGGATTCTGGAAGAAAAGATCCATAAGAACACCCAACAAGGGATTGGAAAAGCCGAACCGGAGTTCAGGTTCTACCGCTGAAAATAAGGTAAAGAAAGATGGTAATTTCAGACCGTGAAGGTTGAAATTTCTTTGTAGAGGAGGGCATGTCTTTACAAAACCTTGCAAGGACACCAATTGACAGTTCGAATGATACTCGGCCATGAACTACGGGATTAGTGTTGTTGTTGATATTTAAGAGTTAGTATGAACTCTTCAGCCCTAAATAGTTTATGTGGGGCCCGTAGATTATCTTGTCTATTCATCCTTTCTATCTTATCCATCTAGTTCTTGCTCCATTATATCATCAGCTTTCTGTTTCTCGGCTGATCCCCTTGATCCACCGATGCCATCGTTGATTGCCTTTCATCTCGTCGCCGTTTCCACAAAGAACCCCATCCTCGCATTCATCCAGGGTCAAAAGCCATCCGTCGCCCCCAGAATCCAAAAAACTGGAGTGCCGTGTAGGGCGAGCGGAGGAATCAGCAACAGAAATTGTTTTTCGGCGCGCCGAGTGGAAGGGAGAGAAAAAAGGCCTGGGGCTAAAATTGGGTGCGACACAGAAACGGGGGCTGCGCGACAAATGGACGTGGAGGGGCGACGATGGGGAGAGGGGAGACTGGAGAGCCCATTGATCCATATCCTATTCAATCTTCTGGTCAAGCCGAGTGGAGGACCGCAGGCGATGCGTGGCATTGTTGGGAAAACAGCAAAAGGGAATTGAGGGCTCGGTCAGCAGTTAAGGAGCCGAGTATGATCCGTTGATGCTGAAAAGCCACAGCGCATAAGGAATTCTTGTAGGCCAAAGTTCTGTTCTAAATTTCTTAGAGTGCTTCAGATTTTTTCGTGGCAAAAACCTTAGTCATCCACTGTTTATAGCTCTCTTTCGATCATAAGATCTTCAATTCTCCAAAATTCTCTGGCCTACTTCAATCATCCACCAATTCCATCAAATCCTCTTGCAGTATCAAGCTCATCTTTCTAATCTCCCCACGCCAAATCCTCTTGCCTTCTTTTCGTAAAACGACCTTGCTTCAAGTGTTTTGGGGACATCGTATCAATCTCGACGGAGGGCGTGTCCAATCGCCTTCCGACGGGACTGCAGCGGCATCTCCATGTCCTTGTCCTTGTCTTGACCGATCGGTTTTGTGGCGCTGGTACTGGGCAAAGGTTTGCGCAGATTTATGACCTCCGCTAACGGTAGGGAAAGGATGGTAGGAGATGGGTTTTATTCCCGGCTCCGTAAAGTCAAATTTGTAGGATAACCTTTTCATTTTACAAAATTCAGGTCCGGCCAAGGTTAAGAATTTCTAGTAAGAATTATTGTTGGGAAATCCGGTGTCCCTTTACTGGAATTTCTTTGGAAATCCCCTTTTCCTCTGTTCTCCCTTCTTTCTCCGCGTTTTCTTTGTTCTTTCTTCTTTTCTCTTTGGATCCGCGAGCGGTTTGGCCATACCGACCAATGAGGACACAGGAAGGGAGCAAAGGGAAAATCCGTATACTGTACATGATTCTTTGTTCTCATTAGGCGTCGTTTGCAATATTGCCTTGGGGTATTTTCTGCACAAAGTTTCTGTGGTTGACCTAGAAAACAAATTAAGGGTTACTGTCCTAATTGCTTTACAATACTTAAGTTTAATCCCCTTCTCGAGTCCCTGTGCCCATCACAGCGTGGATGACCCGAATTCGGAAGGTGGCGTTTCTAAATAAATGTTTCCAATCGGGGTCCCTCAAGGCCGCTGGACATTGGAAAATACAGCGAGGGTGCCCATTATTTCTAGGACGCATCCCGACAAAACTTCTTTCGGGATTTCGAGGGCCTCGTCTCTCCGGGCGGCGATTGTTTTTGCATGCATGGGGATAGGGCAGCGGTGTGACGGCGCGCGAGAAAAATAGTTTATTTCGAGCCTTTGGGGTCCGACTGGCACGACAATTGGCGACGAATCGATGTGGGGAAGGGCAGCGGGGGCCGGGTGGGGACGAGCGGAGCCGCGCGCTGAAGCCGAAACAGCCAGTGGTGGCGATTCAAGGCGAAGATCGTGTTGGAAAAAACTTTTCGCGCGACGCTGACCCCATTGCCACGCCTTCCGGGGCACAGAAGGGAGGGGACGGGAGAGAGAAATGGACGGCTTCAGAAGGCTTTCGTCCTGGTCCGATGGACTCCAATGGCGAGGTCGAGAGGAGGACCGAAGGATCACTTTGAATGGGAGCGCGACTCTTGGACAGCGGCTTTCTGACGGCTGGCTTCGGTAATACTGTAATCCCTTCTCTAAGCTTGAAGGGTTTTGTGGTCTAGCCATGTAATGATCTCTGTGATATCTTCTATTCAAGTATTCTCCTTATCCACTTCCTTTTTTCTCCTTAACTTGTTGCGATAATCCCTCTGATCAAACACCATCACTTCTGATGACTAAGCCCTCTGCTTCCCTTATAGCCTAGCCCAGTTTAATTGCTGCCTATTAGTCCGTTCATCCCATCGATGACCTTTGCCTAAGCGCTCCCATTTTGCGCTTGATGGCCTGTCCCCAAAGCCTCCATTGCCAAATTCCATCGTGCCTTGTCGCGTCGCCGGTGTTTTGGAAACTCATGGCTGCGTTCAAGGACACGCACTTGCCCTGTCCTTCCGCTTTTAACAACCCCACCACCCGTTCGTCCCATTCCGTCACAGCCACGCATTCGATCGAGGAGTCGGTGCCTGAAGCAAGAGGCTTCGTTCTGTCGCTCCAGCCAGACGTCGCAAGCCCGGAAACTAATTAGTGAATACGCGTCAGCGATTTTGTTCGAAGTCGGAGCCAACTTTGCTCGAATTTTAGTTTAAGCTCATCATTTCGGATGAGATTTCTGATGTCCTTGAAATTATGATCAATTTGTCTGAGACCATATGATTTTCTGAAAGTGCAGAATGATGGCCGCACCCGATTACACGCCACCTGAAGACGACCTTTATCGGGTCAGCCTTTTATTTTCTCGGGGACTCCAAGGCGCGCACTGACGGGCGGATTCAAAGGCGATCCGTCGTTGCGCTCAGATCTGGTTGGCGTGTTTTAAGTGGACTTTGGGCAGTTTTATAATATTGGATAGGGCTCCGGGGGTCTTCTTGGGGAGACGGTAGGGACGAGCGAATAATCTAAAAATCACAACTTTTTAATTCTGCTTGCTTTTATCAAGTCGAATATGTATTAGGTTAGTCCAAATATCACACAGCCACTGGTGTGTCCTCTATAATCTCTATTTATTATATATTCTGTTTACGGCCCAATAATGACTTTCATCGATCATAAATCCAGCCAGACCACCTCTCCCCTTTTTACAACCTCTCTTACATCATCATTCGCTTGGCCTTTCCCAAAAACAGGCCTTCTCCAATCGAAATTTCTTATCTCATGGTCCCCAACCCGCGTCCCCTTTTTTCTCTGCTCTAAACACAGCGAACAGATGATTGATTCCCTGGCCATATCAGCGCTCTTCCCCTCTCTTTTTAACTTAACTTCCCCATTAGGTCAAACTCGACGTTAATGTTCCCCAAATTTTACGATGTTTTTCTCCATCTTCAGAATCCGTGACAGTAAAAATTTGGCGGATATTTCCAAGGGATTCGCTTTAATCATTGCACAGCGCTTTTTTGCTAATTCCCCGTTGGTTCCGGACTTGTTTTACATCAAGGTTTATCGCCCGAATGACCTGACTTCTCAAAAAGAAAGGCGACTCGAGAGTTTAGGGCATGATTATAGGGCACGCGATCAGGGTTAGGGCTGAAGAAATTGGGGATTTAAGAGGTTGTAAAGTCCGCTGGGGACAGGTAAATCAAATAGGATAGGCAAAAGTTTTTTTATTGTCTGGAAGGGTAATACCCTTATTTAGAAAGCAGTAGAATTCCGAGATTCGGCCAAATAACGAGTTTGACTACCTCAGGCCAAGAGGATTGAGAATTTTTTATGCACGGAGTCTCCATTTGCTCCGATTTGCTCCTATTCCTTGAGGCATTCCAATTTTCCCCCACAAACTCGGCGATCTCGTTCTTTTTCCGTTTTTTTGTCGCCGCCGGGCACAACCCCGAGACCAACCACAAGATGGCATCCCCCGCTTTTCCTCTTTCATCGTTGCGGACCCACACATCTCAGCGACAAAAGTAGAGTAGAGTGGTTGAAGGAAAACAACGAAGAAGAAGGGAGAAACGGGACAGCCGGTCCCGAAGAGCGCGCGGCAAAAGAAGTCGGGCACGATCGGGGGGCGGGGCGGGGCCTGGGATTCCGCGCCGGCGCCGAGAATTCCGCCACGGACTCTCGCCCTTGCCCATTCTGGCACGGTCAGTGTGCTAGCGAATCGGGGGCGCGCGGTGCGGCCTCTTTGTCTTCGATTTAATCTTGTTTTTGGTCGGAGTTTGTGGGGTCGCGTCGGATGGGATAAAGTGGCTATAGCGACCGGGCTGGAGCATTGCGACTAAACTTGTTGACTCTATTATGCATCATAGGCCTTACTAAGTCATTCTATCTTCCTGTTGCTGATTGGCCTTGCCGTGGCCAATCAGCTTGGCCAATTTAACACCCTTTGAGCTTTGAAAGACTTTTTCCATTTTTTTTTCAATGTGGCCATGTTAAGTCTGAATTCTCTTAAGGCATGTAAAATACTGTCTGCCAAATAACCCAAACAACTCTCCATGTAGTCGCTGACCCAAATCCCTTTCTTTTTCTGTCCAAAACCGGCTTCTGTCCACATAAATCAGTCGTTCAACTTTTATCCCTTTCCTCCCAACAAGGCAGGCCTTTTTTTTCTTGATCGGCCTTCTCTCTCTCCGCGAAACTTCATCCAGAATCCCTTTCGGCGGTCTCCAGAATCCCGTCACGCCGAATTTGGGGCATTGGTCGGGCGTTCTGCCCCCCACTCCCAGCTTTTTAATGCCCGGGAAGGGGTCAAAAGGGGATGCGCGCAAGGGGAAAAGTTATTATTCTCCAACAACAAAATTGCAAAGACTTCTGGAATCGCGGCACCAAGGTTATGATCCGGGTCCAGTTTTTTCTTCGGGCGCGAGACGTCGCCTAGTTTCTTATTAATAGCCGCCGGGGAAATGGGTCAACAATCCCCGTCGCCCACTGGGCATTTAATTGGACATTGCAGGGGATTACGGTATGGTATTTGGATTGACCTGGTAATGGATGGGATCGTAAAAGAGCATGGGACGTAATTTGGCCACACGGGGTCAGAGATTGGCCATGAGACTCTTTACATTGGCCAAAACTCAGGAGATATACTAGTTGATGTCTAGTGTAATATAATGCTTGGCAGAAACTATGGTTTTGATAATTCTTTTGGTAGCCCTGAATGTCTCTTGGCCATGTATGTCCTAGATACCCCGAAAACATTGCCGAGGCCAACTAAAACCCCCGCAGAACATCCTTTTCTTCAGCTTATGTAAAATGATGTCATGTGTAATATAAATTTTACATCACTAGCCCCGAAATCAACGTTAAACCCGTCAACCCTCTGTCATTTGGCCAATGACGCCTTCTTGCGTTCGGCACCAATTTTTATCTGCCTTTATTACCCCAAGAGTAATCGATGGCCTTCTCAGCGATTTGGTCCAAGTCAACGACCTCGGCGATCTGGCTTGAAGATAAGGAACGAGTCGCTCATTTATCTCTCGGTCTGCCTTTTATGGACAGGTAGTTATTTTGGGACCTCTGATTAATTGGCGAGTTTAAAGTGGGCGATTCTTAAGATTTCTATATAATCCGTCATCATGACTTGGTTTTAAGTCTTACGTGGCGTCATACCGACTTGAATTTTTTTCGTTTACTCTGACGGCGGGAATCGTAGTTTAGAATCCGGTTTCATTTCGTTTTTAGTTGACGTATAAGATGACGTAATGATGACCGATTTTCTGGAAATTAATATTTTTAATTTTATCTGGCCAAACTTTTTGGAACTTTTTGTCAAGGATTGCTGGAAATATCATGGAGAATGATGTGCTCTTCCGGTTCGCATCAAAGGAACGCCCTGGCCCCTCAAAAGGTCCCTTTTCTTTTATTTGGCCGCACCAGAAATTATGCGATTGCTCATCGCTTTTGTTACTTTTTAGTTAATTTGTATTGTAATTCCCCGCTCTCCTCAATGCTTGGCCTGAGGTTGGACCCCCAAATTTCAGCGATTTGGTTTTGATTTTCGATGTTATACTTGATATTTTTTATTCCACTAGAGGTTTGGATGTTTTACCGCGAAATTTCGGGCCCGTTTTGGTAAGTCGAATCCTTGAGAGCGATGGAGGAATGTTTTTTGGGCCTTGAATTTTAATTTATTTTGCATTAATAATCGGCGCGGGCCAGCCGCACGATTTTTTCTGGCCAAAAGATCCGGAACTCGGCTGAAAAGAGGTCCTTTGAGGCGAGTTGGCCTTGCTTTTGATGAGTTTTGGCGGAAATACCGTATAATCTTTCTTTTGGGATCTATTTTGCTTGGTGAAAATGTCTTTTTCTTCGAGATTTTACATAACTTATATTGATTTAGGTAACAATTTGATAATTTTTAAAAATTTTCGCGAATTTTCGGGATTTTGGATATTGTAAATTACATATAGTGCTTTTGACTAATTCTTGGTTAATTTCAGATTGTAAAAATCTCAAAAATAATGGACGAAACAGCCACAGAAGATGCCCGAGGCGGGTTCGATCTCAGCTCTCTGTTCCCGTCCACAGCGCCGATGGCGAGCATCACCAGCATGCTGAATCCAGCTCCTCCGGCCGCAAATTTCCCTCCTTTTGTCCCGATCCGCCCAGTGTATGCTCCGTCCGGATATGGCCGCCAAATTCTGATCTACGATTCCCGTGCCTTCCCCGGTTGTCGTCGCGAGTTCGCTTATAAAACCCGGTTCACCAACCAGTCCGGTCTCACGACCGTCTACTATCGCTGTATGGCGTGTCGTGCTCTGCGGCATCGACTTCAGCGGCTGATGCCTCGCGAAAAATTGCCAGCAGTTCCCTGCATTGCGGTCAAAAATGACCTGCTGATCAATGATCCGGATTGGCCCGAGGCCTCGGACCATTTCTGCAATCCGCTGACGATCGAGGAGTCCAACAACCGACTGAAGGTGACCTTTGAGAGAGGCTACAAGAGGGCCCGAATGAAGATGGCCGCCGAGGAATCGATGAAAAAACCAGCGAATAATGGACAGAAGACCCCGCCGAGAGCCGGCATCAAGTGCGAAATTAACGAATCCTCTCCGCTCAACCTGGATCAATGGGCAAGTTGGGCCAAGGGCTTGCAAAACGCGATCAAGCCGGAGGAAGATGACGGAACAGCCCAGTCGACGAGCAGTAATCACTCAAATGTCTCGGAAAGTGGCAATGCTTTGAGCAATACCAACACTTCCGCTTCAGCAGCCTCTCCCACGACCTCTCCGCTCAGATTGTTGGAGGACATCGAGATGGACACCAGTTCCAGTCAGCCCAAAAAAGGTCTCGATGCCTTGCTTCAACTCCAAGACCAACGCGAAAAGTCGCACTCACCCGACGAGAATTTGAACAGCTTGACCTTTGACAGCTTCAAGATCTTCGACAGCAATAACCAGCCCGATTTCAATGCCTTGTTCAGCTTAGCGGGACTTTCGGCACCTTCCACAAGGACACCGCCAACCCAGTCAACTCCCACAAAATCGAGGCCGGGCTCGGAGCTCATGAAGGCGTTGAATCGAGTTCAGAGCAGGAAGAAGGAGAAGGAAGCCCAAGCGGCGGCCGCGGCGGCAGCAGCCTTCCAGAATCAATTTGGAGCCCTTCAGCAGGCCTCGGAATATGTCGAGAAGTATATTAAGAACAACTGGTCAACCCCAGAAGACTGTAAGTTTATTTTCTTTGAATTAAAGGCCTTATTCAGTCTGTTAAGTTCAGATTTGAGGTGGATATTTAGGTACCTAAAATGAATTTGTCATCTAAATTAATATTTTTAGTGTCGCAAGCCCGAACCACCGCTGAATTGACCTGCTCATTGATCCTGGCCCTTGCCAAGAACTTGCCACAGGCATCAGCTGCGATGAGACAAGGCCAATGTTCGAGGAAGGACTTTGCCGGAGAAGATTTGTTCGGCAAGACCTTGGCCATCATTGGACTCGGCAAAGTAGGAATTGAAGTATCCCAGAGAATGCAAGCGTTTGGCATGAAAGTTACCGGATATGACCCTTTGGTCACGAAGAATGTAAGCGATTTTTGAAACGATTTTTTGGCAGAAATTTTGATTTTTTGATGGGATTTGAACTAATCTTTGTCATTTTAGGAAGCCGAACGCCGAGGAATCAAATTCCGTCACCTTGACGACATCTGGACTGATGCTGACTACATCTCCCTTCACTGTCCAGTCCTCCCTCAAACTACTAACCTTGTAAACGCCTCAACTTTGGCTCGATGCAAGTCTAACGTGAAATTTGTCAACGTTTCCAAGTCCGAACTAATCAACGAATCCGATCTGATTGATGCCCTGAATAGCGGTCGATGCGCAGGCGCTGCACTCGACACGTTCAATGAGGATGGAAACAGGAGCCTGATGGAAAATCCGAAGGTGATTTGCACCCCAATGCTCAGCGTTCCCATCGAGAAAGAGGCCTTTAGCAACCCAGCCTCCAGCTTCTTCAACTCACTGAATGCCTCAACTTTGGCTGCGGTTTTGGACGAAAGCAAGGTCCAAAGCGTCAAGGCTGCCACGAATTTGGGACTGGTCTTGGCTTCTCTTCAAGCCAATCCAGCTGAGGTCACCTTGAAACATCCGGCTTCGGCTCAGGGATTCAAAAAAGCTCTTATTGCCGGAGCAATTTCCGGAGTGATGCAAGCGGCCACAGAGGAATCGAGTGTGAACGGAGAGGGAATCAAGGTGCACACAGAGATTTGCAACAACAATGAGCTCACTCTGGTCGCCGGAGCAACTTCCGTGACTGGATTCACATCCCCAGCTGGGACCTTGATCTCCGCCATTGATGGGAAAAAATTGCCGTCGCCGGTGATCGCCGAACGAATTATGGCCATCGCGCAAGGCGAAGAGACCCTCAGCGACGAACTTAAGGTAAGGAGAGATCATTTTATTTATATTTTTGGGACATTAGAGCAGAAATTATATTATTCATGATAAGCATTGATGAAACTTAGGAGGTTTTTTAGGGAATCTTATGTTTTTATGGCTTTAAAAAAGTTGTTTTTATGAAAGATGGTTTAATTTCCTTCATTTTCAGATCAAATCCACCGTGGAGTATAACCTAAATGGAGGTGGCCGCATCAGTTTCTTCCAAGAACTCTCAGACGACGAAATCGCCGACCTCAAATCCGCCAACTTTGTGGTAGTCAAGTTCAGCTAAACCCACTCACCTATTTATTTGCATTTTCACATATCAAATGGCATTACGATCATATCGGATATAGTTTTGTTTTAGTATTCAAATCACATATCAGTCTTGCCAAAGTCGTTCGAAAATTGAATGGAGAGTATGCTAAGATAATTTCGAATCATTGACTAACTTTTTTCCTACTTAATTTTAACTTTTAAAGCCTTGACATTGTCATTTGTTCGAAATTTGTCCAAAAATTATATTCTCCATGAGGTTTCGGACCCGAATTCTTGCCTTAAGCCCATGTTAAAACCCACCAAGCTATTGATTTTACTTTGGTAATCCCCTAACCGACTTAGTATTGTAAATAGGCCCCCACTGATTAGTCCGACCGCGCTCCAAAAAAGCCCAGAAAACATTCACTTGTCGCTGTGATACTTTTTTTCACCCCATATTTATATCCCTCCAAATTCGCTTAGTTTTCGGTTAAATAAATAAAGCATATTGTAAATGTTCCAGTCAGAAAACACCGTCTTCATTCCCAAATTTGAATATTTTAATCTTGATCTTTTCAATTCTCTCTTTACCAATTTTTTTTGGGAAATTTTAAATCTTGAAAAAATAAACATGTGAAGGTATAAATGAGTCGGATTGGAAGAGAAATAAATAAAAAAATGATAAAATGAGCAACAATTGAGTTCGAGACGAGAGTCTGTGGGAAACGAGTAGAGACGGTCAGAGAAAAATTATCTTTCTGTAGTTGATTTGCGATGTTTGCTTATAAGAGATTGATTTTTTGCGGAAGCACATTACCTGTACAACAAAAAACCCTCATCGAAAAGATAAAAGAAAATCCAGAAAATTCTAAAAATCGCCGATGTCTTGCAATTAGAAAATTCTAGTCCAAACTCTTTCCGAGCTTGGTCAAAATATTAGGGATTCGAATTTTTTCATTGCATCGTGCAATCGATACAGTTTTAAAGACTGTTCTTAAAATTCGTTAAAATATTTTTTCGTTTAATTTCAGTTACACAAACTCCCTGCTTGCTGTATTTTACATAACAAAATTACGGTAAAAAGCGCATAGAAATCTGTTTATTTCGTAAAATTTTAAAGTCCGACGCAGGATTTGTCGTCAATTTGATGGTATTGGTAGAGGTTTTACTGGGCTCCATGTTGGATTGGGCTTCCAGTTGGTCCCTCGAATCCAGCAGCTCTCTTTCCGTAGTATCCATAGCCGTAGGCAGGGTATCCGTAGCCATAGCCATAGCCTCCGTATCCATAATATTGAGCGGCCGATTCTTCGACCAAGAATCCGACCAAAAACATGGCCAAAAGGCAGACAGCCAAAGTGGAGCGAGAGAAAGCCATTTCGAGGATTTTCAAATTGAATTTGATGGAAATACCGCGGTAAATCGACCTTATATACCGCAAAGAATCAGTCGGTTATACGGATTTTGTTTACCTAACCCGCAAAACTGTTTATTCGTCGCGTATTCAAAAAGTTACTTTTTTGCAATATTTGAACAGTGAGCAGACTTATTTTATAATATTTGCATGGTATATAAAACATAAAAATGTTTGCGTAAGTGGTTCAGGAAAGGTAGTAAAATGACAAACTGTTTAGGTACTACAAGTATTACTGTACAATGGTGGAGAAAAAAGGAAAAATGAAATCATACTGGGCACAACTTTAGAGTAATCCTTTCTAAAGCATATGCAAAGTTCCTAGCTCGCGCTATGCAGAAGTTATATTTGCAAACTTTAATTAGCTTGCAAGCTAACAGCCAGAAGATGATATTAAAAATTCTGGAATTAAAAACACACGCTTGCTGGCAGAATTACGAATTAATTATTACCCAAAAAGCAGACAATGAAGAAATAAATAAAGCCAACGAAACGGCAATCCACTGCGTGCTTAGTTCTGGCCAGTACTTCCTTGTTATTTTTAAGGTTCCCTAGAAACTTACAAACGCTTAGACTTGTTACTTTCCTTGTATTTGATTACAATTATTATATAAATACTAATATCGTTCAGTCATTACAACTGTCATTCAGGTGTGGCGTGTCTGTTGTGGTATTGCCTTTCAAGTCTGCGCTTTATTTGTGGGGCTTTATTAATATTATAAATGGTTCATTAGTCACAAGTACAGACCAACCCTTTTATATGTAAAGCGGCGCTGAAGTTGTGGAAAACACAGCCTAAAGTAGGATTTTTTCTTTGTAAGGGCGAATTTGAGATAGAAAATCATCGTTTTCATGACTGATTTCTCGAGAGACAACTGTCAGATCTTGGCAGGGAAGCGCCCTAACCGTGATGCTTATTTTCAATGAAAAAATTTAAATTAACTGTCTCTAAGAAATTAATTAAAGACACTAATATGACAGGCCGAATGTTGATCAAAATTTGGCACTTTTTCGGGTTTATAAACAAAAAATTTTGATTTCGTTTCAAACAAATAAGGTAGTTTTTCAACTAAAAATGAATGCGGAAAGCTCTCAATTTATTTGTCCACATCGCCCATGACTTGAACCAAACTGAACCCAGGTGTGTAAAATATGATTAAACAGTTTCCAAAAATCCTTACATTCCTCCAAGGAATCTCCCTGATTTACGTATTTAATTATGTACTTTCTTTTTGGTTCTTGCTCACCTAAACCAATTACGGGTCTTGGTCGTGTATTAACTGTTACCGTTAGACGAGACACTCTACTTCCTTTATTTTTGTGCCATTACTTTTCTTTAACCTCTTTTAGATAAGTGGTAAATGCATGTATGGGTAGTGATTGATTTACTGCTCTTCTCAGCTCCATTATTCTGTATTTATCTAAAATTAGTGTACTCTTTGTGGAAGCGGAGGAAAGACTTCTTTTCTGCATTTTACAGAATCGTCTTGTTTGGCGGAATGTTGGTAAGTTTTGGTGGTTTGCGGTACAAAAACTGCTGAGAACCTAACAGAGGAAATGCTCTCGGTGGCAGTTTCCGATCTTACTGAAACTTGGATAGGATCATATTAATTTTTTCAGGCCCAAATTTGAACGGGGAAGCGAATCTTTACATAAAAAATCAATCAATTTTTATTGATGAAAACTGGAAGGATATTCTTAGGACTTTTGTGATATTTTAAAAATTCACAGATTAGTCGTAAAATGACCTCAATCCTATTTCAGGACTGTACCAGCTTTGTGATATCTTTCCTCACCTTTCGTTTCATCAACTCCTCCTTCTTCTTCGACCATTTCTTTGATATTTTCAACCACTATTCGTTCTTCTGGTCACCCTTCAAATTCATCGTATATCAGGTCATCTTTATGAGCCATATAACACCGCTTTTAATGGCTGTAAATCGAGCGACAAGTTTGTGTTTTCCCGTAAAATACGATGCAATTTGGCGGAATTATTCACTGATTATTGGATGCGCTTACTTAGTGCTCCCGACAACACTGACATGGCAGTTGCTATTCAAGCCCGCAGGGCTTTTTTTGTCTGGAAATAAGAGTGATGGACATTTGGCGTTGGATTACGATCACAGTTATACATTTGGTGTAGGTTAGTATGTAGTGATAGTCGCTTTTTAATAATGTTTACCCAGCTCAGAACTAAAGCAATGACTGAGTCATTCGTTTACCAATAGTACATACTGTTATTATGTCTCTATTTTTAGCCCCGAATGTCAACAGCACTGTTTTGGTATTCTATGGGAGCTGCATTCTTAACACTGACTTGTAATCTAATGTGTGCTATAAAATTAATTACTCATAAATTCACTAATCGAGCGTTGAGGAAGAATAATGTGAGAATGGTGATCTGTGCGATGATCGTGTTCGTGAACGAAGCGTTAGTAATGATTTCACAGGTTAGTTTGATTAATAAAAATATAAAATTTTAGCTAATTGTCAGCGAAGAGCTTCTCGATCCAGACCTCACAATGCGAGTTGTGATCCCATTTATATTTGACGTCCACAGTCTGATGCCTGCTCTTATTATTATTTGTACCGTGCCGCAGCTTCGGAAAGTTGCCGCTGGAGGACTATTTAGGGAAGATTCGGTGGAGAAAAGTCTGTTCGTTACCAGACCTTCCGTCAAACCGCTAAATCCGCTAAATTCCTTAAAGTCAAATTAATGCTACGGGTAGAAAACTTAGTCTTGTTACAAAATTAAAAAAATTAATAAATAAAGTGTCATCATCTTTTTATTATTCGTTTTGATTTCAAGACTTCTCAAAAATAATAGGACTATTACAAAGATTGCGCGGGAAGTGTATGTCATTCGTGGAGAAAAAATGTTTTCTCGCACTATGCAGGCGCCGGTTATTTTTTCCAAGGATTAAGATTCAATTTTCACCTTTTCTCCCAGCCACAATACGAACTTTAGTGCAAAATGCTTCACAGTCAGAAAAAATCGGGCCTGAAATAAACAATTCAACAAGTGTCATTTGGAAATACTTTGAGCCCAGGCTGAGTGCAAATTTACATGGGGCCAGTGACCACGAAATTCAGGTATTTTAATCTCCATCACCCATTCTGGAAGTTACTGCTTGAAAGTGTGAATTAGTGAGGATGGCTGTAGAAACTTTCTGTTCTTACTTTGGCTATGGCGTGTGTTTCGTACGGTCTTTACGAACTTTTTGTAATTGAGTTTAAGGGTTTAATGAAGTCAAAATGAGGGTCAGAAATTTCGGTTCAATCGAAGTTGACGTTGGAACCAGAATGACCCTAAAATTGCAGGTGTTTCGAAAACTGAAGCATTATTTATCGACACTTCACCAAGGCAAGGTCTTCTTTTTGGTACTGGGCGTGCCAAAAAATCTGGACATGTTGCATGCTTTGTGCGACAAACAATAAGCACATTGCGAAAGAAAAACGCACTGTGTCGTTTCAATACATTTCAAGAGCATCGATTTTGCACCGTGCGTGGTCGGCGTGCACCGTGCAAGCGCGTCAAGACTTGTTGGCCCGCCTAGTACAGTAATCTGAAAAGCTTTTTTTGCATTCTCCTAATCGTTGTCCGCTTATTTCAATTATTTATTTCTCGGCCATGTGGTGTATTCCGGATCCGTTTTGCTGGCATAAATTAACAAAAGTCTTGGGGTTTCAATGATTTTTGTTTTAGTATGTACACCCTGGAGGCATTTGACATCATCTTTTTCTCGTGTCCGCTCTTTTTTCTCTACAGTAAGCTAGTGATTTCCCTATGGAAGCGACGGAAAGATTTCTTCTCGGCGTTTTACAGAATTGTGCTGTTTGGAGGAATCGTTGTAAGTTGGGGGTTTTCAGTGCAATATTATCGACTTCCCTAAGATTATGACATTATATGGAATATTATATAAAATCCACTCTTTTTCAGGACTGTTCCAGTTTTTTACTATACCTCAATCTTCGGCTGCCCAATACCAACTTTTACTTTGACCACTTCCTCGACTATTTCAACCACTACTCCTTCTGGTGGTCACCTCTGAAATTTGTGATCTATCAATTCATCTTTATGGGGCATACCACTTCACTTCTGATGGCTGTAAATCGAGTTACCAGTCTTTATTTACCTCTGCATTACGATCATATTTGGCAAAAACATTCATTAATTATTGGTGCTTCTTATTTGGTAATCCCAACAACAATGACTTGGCAATTATTGTTCAAGCCCGCAGGATTTATTTTAATGGGAAATAGGACAAGCGGATTGGTAACTTTAGAATACGATCATAGCTATACTTTTGGGGTAAGTTGGAAGTTAAAGGTCGCGCTTAATCTTTGCATAATATTGCCATCGTTGAACATTTTCAGCCTCACATGTCAACAGCCCTTGTCTGGTACACAATGCTGATAGCTCTTTTAACTTTGACTTTTAACCTGATGTGTGCTATAAAGATGATAATGTACAGATTCAAACACAAAGCGTTGACCAAAAATAATTCGAGGATGGTGCTCTGTGCAATGATCGTATTTCTAAACGAGGTGATGGTCATGTTTTCACAGGTGAGGAATTAACAATGAAGCATCTTGAGTGTGTTGCCTTTAGGTGATAGTCCTACAACAATTCCTGGACAAGACTTTTACCATGAGAGTTGTCATCCCATTCATCTTCGACATTCATTGTTTGATGCCTGGTGTAATTGTGCTCTGCACTGTCCCTCAACTTCGAGAAGTTACCGTTGGCGCGTTCCTTCGCGAAGATCTCACCGAAAAAAGTATTTCAGTTACTCCGGCCGTCGTTATTGCAAAGTAAACTCTGAAAAAACGAGTTTGACAATTAATAAAATTTGATTATTTTTAAGTTTATTCCGATATAAAATACTGCCAAATAGTTGAGATAAATGCATTTATTCCTTCAGCCCTTGTTTTCTACTCCCGAAACATACAGTAACAAATTTATCGTTTTCTCTTCTTCTTTGACTTTTTACAATCCAATCCCTTGCCATCTTCAGTGCAAAATGTGATCTTATAATCAGGCGACAGCCTTCCCTTCCCGCGGCAAGTAAATGTGGATGTCTTGTCGTCGTATGCGTACATGTATGAAGTTGGACAAACGGCCTTCAAGTTTTTATAATACTCCGGAGGAAAGTCTTCTCCTCGGCATTTCTCCGGGACATTATATTGTCCGGCACAACAAAGCTGGTCGTTTTTTGTGGCCGAGCAAGCGGAATATGTGCCCAGAGTAACCCCATTTTTCTTGAACTTCATAATCTCCGGAACGACGTTCTTCAGGTCGTCGCTGCATTCACCAGCTTTGGTGCATTCATATTTGTTGTTGGGGTCACGTTTGTCGAAAGTGCCCGGAAGCGGCTCCATTGACATGGGGATACTGGAGCCGTCCACAAAGGAAATGTCGTAGCTAAAAGTAAGGGCAGTTTGGCTGCGAGAATAATTGGCAAATGGCGTCGGTGAGGAAAATTGAAGGGGGCACCATATAAGACCTGTGCGTTAGTAATTCGAGGGGCCCTTGTCAAAATTTTTTGCAAATCCTGACTCGGAGCCTCCCAGTCAAGAATCATGGGATTCTTGACTGGGTCGATTTTTTTCAACAGTCAAGAATCCCATGATTCTTGACTGGGAGGCTCCGAGTCAGGATTTGCAAAAAATTTTTCCAAGGGCCCCTCGAATTACTAACGCACAGGTCTTATATAAAACTTCGCGAAGCAACGTGCGTAAGGAAATTACTCGGCTTTTAATAGAGATTCAGTAGAGAACTTACTAATCCTGATCATTCGAATCCTTAGCCAACGTAATTTCCGCCAAGCTCACGGGAACTTCCCCAGTCTTCCCATTACATTGAAAACTGGTTCCACAAGCCCCCACATCGCAGAAGAACTGTTCCCCTTCTCCTTTGCATCCAGTCCTTGGCCACACTCTTCCAGCCACCCAAGAGAATGGGACCGTAATATTCTTCTCTCCATGTGGCGACAATTTGAATCCACCGCCTTCAGGGATAGTCCCTTGACCATAAATACCTGGCCACACATTTCTCTTGCATTTGTTGACCAGCATTAGTGTCACATCAGCACTTGCTGATATTACGAAAAAGCAGAAAATTATAAAAATTGCAGAGTTTGTCATTTCTTTGCCATAGGAGAATTTGAAAAATTTTATAATTCTTTTTGCTCAGTTTGTTGACTTATATAGACCTTGAAAAAGAAAAAACTCAGAAATTTGGAGAACGGGGACAAAAGTTCATCGTATCTTATTTGCCCAGCTGGATCGCTAACATTCGTTGAACTAGGTCCGTTGTTTTTGAGGACATCAGTTCTACAATTTTTTTTCTGAGAAATGTCAATTGCATTGTAAGAACAGCTGGATAAATAAATCCGGAAGAAAAGAAACGTTTTGGCAGGAATCTTGCAAAAAAATTATATGACAGGAATCACGTCTGTCTTGGAATCCGGATTTATCCATAAAAGATCAGATTTCACGTAATACTATGCTACAAAATTTTCTTGAATCTGCAAATTTTAATATCAATTTTTGAATTTTTTGCTCTGATCTTTGACCTTTCATTTGGATGCCTTCATTTTCAAAATTTAAATTTTTTATGCAAATTCTTTTACTTTTGAAATGTTCGTCTGGTCTCTCTCTTCCTCATTTCAATTTTTTAACCATTTTCTGCGAATACTAACATTCCAAAAATTAATGCATTCAATAATTTATTCCCCAATTACATCGTTTACAATCTAATACTTAATAACCACCGATGGTTTACAATCCGATGCCACTTTCAGTGCAGAAGGTGACAGTGTAGTCAGGAGAAGGCTTGCCCTTTCCTTTGCAGCTGAAGGTGGAGGTTGGGTCATCGTAGGCATAGATGTAGGTGGTTGGGCAAGCGGCCTTGAGGTCCTTGTAGTATTGTGGAGGGAAGGTGTCGCCCTTGCACTTGTCCGGAGTCGAGTAGGCGCCCGAGCAACAGTATTTTGGGTCGTTGGTAGCGGAGCAAGCGGACAGAGTGCCGACAACCTTACCGTTCTTCTTGAATTGCATGTTGGCGGGGACGATGGTCTTCAGATCCTTGTTACACTCTCCGGCCTTGGTGCAGTAGTATTTGTCGGAGCCACCGGCGGTGTTGAAGGTGCCAGCAACTGGTTGCATGCTCATGGGGATGTTGGAGCCATCGACGAAAGAGATATCATAGCTGAAAGGAGTAATGTTGTTGACTTAATCTCATAGCCCCAAAAAATCAGCTGCAATATGTGTCCGCCCAAACTCACAAATCTTTGTCATTGGTGGTCTTGGCCAGCGTAATCTCGGCCAAACTGCATGGAGTTTCTCCGGTCTTTCCATTACATTGCAAGCTCGTTCCACAAGCACCAGTTTCGCATTGGAAGTTCTCACCCGAGCCAGTACATCCTGTTCTTGGCCAGATACGTCCAGCAACCCATCCATCAGGGACGGTCAACACTTTCTGTGCGCCCGGGGCCAATTCGAATCCACCGTTCTCGGGAATAGTTCCTTGGCCAAAAACTCCGGGCCAGACGGTCTTCTTGCACTTGTTGACGACCGTGATCTTGACATCAGCGACGACGGCGCTGATGAGGAGGGCGAAGACGAGTTTGTTCATTTTTGGAGCTAAAATTTGGAGGATTACCATACTAATTAGCGACTCAAACATTAACGACTATACGACAACTTAGTTGGTATAAAAGCCGCCAAATGACTCACCGTTGAATGGACGAATTCCAAAAGATACTGAATATTCGTAGAAGCTCCGCGCCTTTTATAGAGCCGATTTCCGTTTTCGCCGAACAACCCATGTACGCGTTGGATTGACGTTAACCTTCTGAATATTTGCACAATTGTCAGGAAAAGGCAGTTTCAACAAAACCAGTGTGGTTGAGTGTCTGTTGTCGCGGCTGAACATACAAATTTTGGTCACCAAATGTGCCGAATTCTCGAACATTTCATGTTGCAACGAAGCCACTCGTGCTTCAGCCTCCGCATATGGTTTGTGATCTGATTAACGTTTGCTTTATCAGAATATGTATGCAAAATGTTTAAGGAGCTTTTTAGCTTAAAGAGCAGGTTTTTTAAACATGAACTCCGCCAGAGTACCGCGGATTCACCATTTGATAGTAAGCGTTGTAAAAGACGTACCTTTTGCCTTTTGTTGATCCACACATGTTGGTTATGAATCATAGAGATTCTTTGTTTGTTTTTGATGATTTTAAAGTCAACGATTCATAACGATGAATAAAAAAAGTTGCTGAGAAACTGGTGGGCCAATTTTTCCCACCAGGTCGCCTTGCTGGGCCCGATTACCACCTCTTAATCAATCTTTGTTAGCCGCTCCGTTTCTCTGCCCAGCAGCTATGCATGGCTTCCTTGGTTCAATCTGCAGGTTTTTTAAAGATTATAGCGCAGGTTGTGTGCGGAAGGCAGTCAAAATTTGTTACCCCTTCCACACACAATCGCGTTGTCAGAAACCGCCACAAAAGTCCATTGTTTGTCGTCTGTTACATTTAATGAAGGAAGCTTCCCATTCAAACAAAGCTGGAGAATCAAGTCAAGTTTTTTTGCAAATGTCTGCAAAGGCCGCGTATCAAATTTTGAAAACATAATTTTGCATTTTATTTGGCGGCCGGGCTATAACGAGGAAGCGCAGAAATAAATCGCGGCGGTCAAAAAAAGGCCTCACAAAAAGGCCAATTTACAGAAAATGGCAGTGAAAAATCACCTTTTATTGTTCAAAGAAGCATCGTCATACATGATATGCAACAAAAAATTTATCAAAATTTCTTTTCAGATCAACGGCGAGGTCATTTCCCTTCCTTCCAATGCATCGATCACATTCTGCTCGCCCAATTTTAACATGGCATTGCGGGTATAATGATTTGCTGAGCCAATGTGCGGAAAAATCACTGAAAATAAAACGAAATTAAACGTCTTTGCGCATTTTAAAACTAAAAAAAGAGGATTATCAAAAAGTAGTACCACAATTCTTCAAGCTGTACAATGGATGCGTTGGAGGGAGGGGTTCTGGATCAGTAACGTCCAGTCCAGCTGCTCCGATTGTCCCGTTCTTCAAAGCTTCGTACAAATCATCAGTCTTGATAACCTTTCCTCTGTAAAAAACGGATTTTTCAACTAAATGTTTGTGATCACTTACCTCGCGACATTGATGACAATCGAATCATTCTTCATCAATTTGAAGGCATTTGCATCGAAAAGCCCTTCCACATCTGGCCCACAAGACAAGGTGATAATCAGGAAATCGCTTTGTTTTAGAAGCTCGTCAAATGCGACATACTCGTATTTCACTGCAAAGAAATACGAAAAGTAAAAATCTATTATAAATTAAATTATAAAATACGACAGACCAAATATAAACTCTAATTAAACATCAGCTTACAATCGCTCCGTTTGTTTCGATTATGATAAATGATTTTGGCCGGACTAAAAGCTTCGATTTTCTTGGCCACGGCTTCGCCAATCCGGCCCAGTCCAAGAATTCCAACAGTGGTTTGAGTTAGCGCTTTTCCACACATCCAAAATGGAGCCCATTCCTTGGACCAAGCTCCCGTTTTCGCGGCTTCCAAGGCTTCGGGAATTCGACGGGACGTTGTCAAGAGAAGAGTCAACGCCGTCTCAGAGGTTGCTTCAGCCAAAAGTCCTCCGGCATAACCTACTCGGATTTTTCTGAAAAGGAAAGTTAATCTGTAGAAGACATGAAGAGATGAAAGAGTAAACCGAGACGTGAAAAACAAATTGGAAAGCATCTCAGGGTACAAAAAATGCTATCAATTGTATTGTATATGATATTGTTATCGAGCTTACCTCTTCTTACATTCCTCAACATCAATATTCTCGTAGCCCACGGAGATTGTCACCACATACTTTAGATTTGGTCCTGAAGCGATAACAATTATTTGTCATGCCGCAAACATAAGGAAATATTTATCTGATGACGTCGCCTCTAGAAAACCTACCGTGATCAAGGAGATCTGCATCAATCTTCAGTGGCCCCTTTCCGTACAATGCCACGGCGCCCTGAAGTTGCTCTTTTACCCATTCGCGAGGCGCTTGCTTTGTCTCACGGTAACAGGCGACATCCGCGCTAAAAGAATTTCCAAAACAAGTCAGAAAAATTAAAGGAACTCATTTACCAATGTACTTTGGGCTTAATTTTCTGTTTTCGCTTACATTTTCTCGAGCCGATCAAAGAAGAGATCACTGTTGGTTAAAACAACCTTGGGTTTTGTCGCCATCGCTTAAAAATATTGTGGAAATAACTGGAGAAGAAACGATTTAAAATTTCACCTCGAAAAAAGGAAGCTTTATTGTAAATAGCGATTCACGGAATAAAATCAAATGAATGCACTTTGATATTGAAGACAAAAAATACACAACCGAACGAACAACTTTTGGATAAAAAAGAGAACATTTTTTTCGAAAAGAGGGCTCTTTTACGCTTATTCTAGGGAAGGAAAATGGCCGGCAGGAAAAGTGCTCAAAATATAACGATGACTCAAGCTAAGACTTGCAAAATTTATGTACCTTTTTCCCAACTCATATATGGGATTCCTAGTTTATGTAGTTTTTTCGCGCTTTGCAGAAACAACCGAGATTTTTAATCCGAACGTTGATAAAAGTACAAACTTTTTTGCCAGTTTATGAAACTTTTATGATAACAAAAATGGCAATTTAGAGCACAATGGTCACAACAATTGCGAACGATCAGATTTTCGGCGGAGATCGAGATCAGGCCCTTTCCTGGGAAAGACTTCGGCATTCTTCTCAGTAATTGGACGGGGCTTCTCCTTCCGGTGAGAATTAGGAGATCTGGAGGCCTCTTCTTTCTCATTCGTGATTTTGGCAAAGAGTTCGGCATTCTTATCGGCAATCAGCCAGGGTTTCTCCTTCCGTTGAGAATTAGCGGATCTGGAGGCTTCTTCTTTCTCGTTCGGGATTTTGGCAAACAGTTCGGCGTTTTTATCAGCAATCAGCCAAGGTCTGTCCTGTCGTTTTACAAAAGCAGACCTGGAGGCTTCCTCCTTCTCATTCGATATCCGGAGGTTCTTGTCAACATTTACCTTTTCCTTGGCCGGGATCAGCGGCCCTTTTAACTTCTTTCGGAGAGTTGGGGCCGGTTTCTGAAATTTTTTTGTGAATTATGCCAATCAATTTGAAACAGCCAGAAAGCCATTTTCTTAGCCTCACCTTTATGAACTGCATAGTAACATTAGTTTCTCCGCTGTCGCTTAACTTCTCATTGCTCTTTTTCTCTTTCATTTGCACGTTGTTGGCATCTCCCTTGACCGTCTCTATGTTCACAAATTCCTTCGATTTTTTTCTCGGGGATCTAGCCGTATAACTATTCGTTCCTGATTTAGATGAAGAATCTTCGCTTGGCTCAACACAGGTTACTTCATAGATATCCAACTCCCTCTCGAGTTGCTTCTGAAACAATTTAGGAGATCAAAACGGTCAAAACCGCATAAAAATGAGACTTTTATAACATTTCAGGGACTAACTTACTCGTCTCCTCCAAAGAAGCAGAAGAATCAGGGCGGTGATGCAACAGATCAGAAGGAGAAAAACGAGGACCCCAACAATTATGTAGATGACACTTTTACTCTCTTCCTCTCCTTTTTCTCTGAAATGGAAAAGATTTAAAAAAAAATACTTTTCACGGTGCAATTAATTTGCGGTAAATTTTCCGTTCGCACTGTGCAATTGGAAAAATTTCTTCACACCGTGCAATCCATAAAAAAGATTCTGCACTGTGCATCATGCAAAAAAAGGCAAAATGAAAAAAATCGTAAACGTGATAAAAAACGTAAAACCGGCTCACTCAGGAATGAAAACGTTGGTCAGCCGGAAATATGTGTTGTTGGTGAGGGTGTCATCCAGATCTGAGACACATGCCGGGTAAATCATGCGGATTACTTTCTAAAATACGAAAATAACCCCTCAGTCCAAAAAAGGACGGTCTAAAAAATCAAAAATTTACCAGCGAATACCACTCAGTTTTCCCATTCTTCTCCAGGACCGGGTAAATAGGCTCACAACTTTTGGTCTTCGTCCATTCCTTATCCGGACTGTCCTCCTGATAACAGACATTCGGCTGGCTTTCGAGAATAAAGTTAAAGGCCTGCTTATCATTTCTCGGTGTGATAATGTCATTCCAAGAGAGGATGCTACTGTCCATAATGTCGGTCCAGACCCCATCCCCAGCTTTGGTGTGATTTCTGATATACATTCGTTGCAAATCATTGACCGCATCCGACGAAACACGGTACATATAATCGCCCATTAAGTAGTAGACAGAACCTTCGGCCTCACGGATCAGTAAGTCGTTGTGGATTGCGGCAACACTGAACAAATAAGGAAATCAAAAATAACTGGCATCGACGCAAAATTTTACGGAAATCGGGGCGTCGTATCAACAAAGTTTTGCCAAAAAGGTGATTGCAAAAAATTTTTTGAAATTACTTACATTTCCTTTCCATCACCGTATGCGAAATACCCTCCTGTTTCGAACTCTTCACCTCGGGTTTGTACAAAAATACGATAGCGTTTGAGGGTTCTTGCTTGTTCGTCAGTGAGTTTGAAAATTGTAAGATTGCTGAAAAAAAGATCAAAACAACCATTTTATCTGTGAAAAAATGTTTTTGTAAAGAGCCCATAGAACATTTCTTCGTTGAGCCACAATAGGAAGGCCCTGCCACGTTCGGTCCAAGCCGCAGTTGAGATGGGATCCCGAGCTGCGCCCGCGATTTGTAATTCGTAGGGGACATCTTATACGAAGAAAGACCAAATTTTGCAATGATTGCCTCAGGGCTCTAAAAATTCATACACAGAATATTATTTTAACGTAGATCCGATATACCAAGTATCATCTTTCTGTCGCTGTCTATCTTCGACTTTGGATAAATATCAGATTTTGCCTAGTTTTGAGCCTGCTTTTGTACCCATTTTTTGACCACTTTTTGGCTTGTAATGATAAAAGTAAGATAGTTATTCGAAATATCGCTCTTTGATGTTCTAGAGAGCCTTTTTGTGTAACCCTTTTAGGTAATGCCAGACCTCAGTGGTGTCCCCCCTTTTCAAAACGTTTGCTCCAATGACGTCAATTTTAGGCCAAATTTTGCTGATTTTTCGAAATTTCTGCCTATATTTTTTTCAGAAGTCCTTTATCGAAAAAATCGCGATTTGAGTGTTTAGAGAAGATCCTTGTCGATGTATAGAAACTTGCATTTTCATCCAACGACCAATAGTTTTTTCAAAACGTTTGCTCCAATGAGGTACACTTTGGGGAAATTTTGCTGATTTTTCGAAATTTCTGCCTATATTTTTTTTCAGAAGTCCTTTATGGAAAAAATCGCGATTTGACGGTTTAGAGAACAGCCTTGTCGATGTGTAGAAACTTGCATTTTCATCCAACGACCAATAGTTTTTTCAAAACGTTTGCTTCAATGAGGTACACTTTGTGGAAAATTTGATGATTTTTGCATATTTCTGTCTGCATCTTTTTTACTGCCGTTTGTCGAGGAAATAATTATCTTTAATTGTAGACAAGCAGCATGATTAGATTTAGTAACCGGCATATACATCAACGACTAAAATATTTTTGAAAAATGGACGTCAACATAGTACATCTATAAGAAAATTGTTAGCCCAGCAAAAAGCGTTAAGTATAAACTAAAAGCAAAACAGGCGTTAATAACGAGAATAAAGAAAAACGGTATTAAAACCCCCTCTTTACAGGCAGACAGCTTACTGCGGTGGGCACACGAACGGACGGTACTATACGACGAGTTTGGGATTGACACAAGCCAAATCGATGAAGATATTGATGAATCAGAGAACACCGAAACTTTTTTTAAACGTCTAATTCTTTGAACACACCATTTTCCAATCTAATTTTCCTCTAAAATGCATCTTTTCAAACTCGTCTGAGAACTAGACAGAAATATGCAAAAATCAGCAAAATTTCCCCAAAGTGTACCTCATTGAAGCAAACGTTTTGAAAAAACTATTGGTCGTTGAATGAAAATGCAACTTTCTGTGCATCGACAAGGCTCTTCTCTAAACACTCAAATCGCGATTTTTTCGATAAAGGACTTCTGAAAAAAAATATAAGCAGAAATTTCGAAAAATCAGCAAAATTTGGCCTAAAATTGACGTCATTGGAGCAAACGTTTTGAAAAGGGGGGACACCACTAAGGTCTGGCATTACCTAAAAGGGTTACACAAAAAGGCTCTCTAGAACATCAAAGAGCGATATTTCGAATAACTATCTTACTTTTATCATTACAAGCCAAAAAGTGGTCAAAAAATGGGTACAAAAGCAGGCTCAAAACAGGCAAAATCTGATATTTATCCAAAGTCGAAGATAGACAGCGACAGAAAGATGATACTTGGTATATCGGATCTACGTTAAAATAATATTTTGTGTATGAATTTTTAGAGCCCTGAGGCAATCATTGCAAAATTTGGTCTTTCTTCGTATAAGATTGCCCCTACGAATTACAAATCGCGGGCGCAGCTCGGGATCCCATCTCAACTGCGGCTTTTCTTCTATTTGGACCGAACGTGCTGCATGACTAAAAAAATTCAATTTCGAATTTCCCACCAATCTTGGCATTCTGCAACAAGGGTCAAAAATGTGCAAAAATTACTCACAAATTGGTAGAAAGTAATTTACAGGGCAACAAAGGATTCTCTAAGAATTTTTATAAGAATTTTTGTGGATATCCCACCTTGTTTTAGTTCCATTTTCGAACGGCGCTACGACATTTCGGGTCAGGGACAACTCGGGTCGCGACAATTCGGGTCAACGACACCTCGGGTCAACGACATTTCGGGTCAACGATGCCGTTTAATATTTTCGCTTCGGGACTGGGAAAAAAAGAATTTTTTGGCAAATTTGAAAAATTTTTGAAATGTTTTCGCTTCGGGACTTGGAAAAAAGAATTTTTTGAAGAATTTGAAGAAAATTTTTAGATGTTTTCGCTTTGGAACTTGGGAAAAAGAATTTTTTTAAGAGTTTGAACAAATTTTTGAAATGTTTTCGCTTCGGGACTGGGGAAAAAAATTTTTTTGGAGAATTGAGGTTTATTTTTTAAATTTTTTAGGGAAATAGTGTATAAGCGACGAGCAAATAAGAAAATCGTATCCGTTGTTTATGTTTTTAACTGGAAGCACGGGGTTTAAACGCAGACAGTGCCAGAGAGTGGAGTAAGAAGATAGTCGTAATGATTGTATGCACATAACGATTTTTTTATTTGCTCGTCGCTTATAAACACCTTTTTCCCAAAAAAAATGTAAAATAAACCTCAATTACCCCTAAAATAACTGTTTATCTAAAAAATTAAAGAAATAACATTCGTACCTTATGTAAAATAAAATTGTAACATTCAGAACAAAAAATCCTTTTCCCACGTCCCGAAGCGAAAACATTTCAAAAATTTGTTCAAACTCTCCAAAAAAATCTTTTTTCCAAGTCCCGAAGCGAAAACATTTAAAAAATTTCTCAAATTCACCAAAAAATTCTTTTTTCCCAGTCCCGAAGCGAAAATATTAAACGGCATCGTTGACCCGAAATGTCGTTGACCCGAGGTGTCGTCGACCCGAATTGTCGCGACCCGAGTTGTCCCTGACCCGAAATGTCGGGACGCGTTTCGAACAACCATCTCTGAAACGCCTTCTCTTCCGGGTCGTAAATGATGGCCAAGACGTCTATTCCGGTCGGTTTCACAGTCTGTAATGATTCAGTGACCTCCTCGCATCTGTCGATCACTGCTTTCACCTTATCAAAGAAATCTTCCGGCAATTTCGGGGGAAATTCGCCCCAAACCAGGCCAAAAACGACCAGAGGCAAGAGCCACGGCATTTACCGGCCGGTCGAGGTGGACTGTAGAATTATGAATGGGGAGAAAGTTTAGAAAACAGTCAATAAATATTCTGATTTTATTGATTTTGGAATGAATAATTTTTTCAGATGTTGCAATTTCTACTCCGAAGATTGGTCGAACATTTCTCGAAACTCTTGAAAGTATTGGCCAGTCCAGCCGAAGGGAATGTGCATTAAAAAGAAAGTCCAGCAGCCTGTGGAACAAACTGCTCCACCGCCGGTTGAGCCGCCGGTTGAACCGTCGGTTGCGACTGCCCTTCCGCAGTCTCCGGAGAAAAAGAAATCGGTCGATCTTGCTGACCGCTCGACTTACACCGCCAAAAGTGATTTGTTCCCTGAAGAAAAGACTCTCAAGGTAATTTATTCACTTTTTTCTGAATTTTAGGTGATAACCTTACAAGTTTTATGCGAAACTTCTAAGCTTTACGTATAAATGCCAAATGCTTTGATGCCACAGTCTGATTTTGGAGTTCGGCAATTTTTTTGATGAATTGTTCGATCCAACGACGGAAATGAGTCAAATCGGATCGAATGTCGCCGAGAAAAAGACGGGCCAAGTCTCTCTTATTTGTTTTGTTCGCAACTTTTTGAATCTACATATTTTGCTTTTGTCATCATTTTTGGGAACAGAGAGATCTCGGACGACTTTGAAGTGAGGTCGTCAGTTTTTTGTAGCAGATAATTAGTATTGTCAATTTCTTGTATTGTGATTTGAAGGCGGGTAATTAAAAAATCTAACGCTGATCCGCGAAGATAATTTGAATAGGACATCGGTCCAATTGTTATTTCCGTTTGCTGAGGCAAGCGTTGTGCTGAACCTTAGGGTTCAAATTGGGCTCATACCACGAGACATCGCAGCTACAACTGTAAACAGCCAAGGTTTTTAACATGAATAACTTAATTTTCAGGACAAGATACACAAGACGATCCCGAAAGTGAAGAAGCGGAATACGGATGGAAAAACGATTGAAGAAGATGCCGCGAATGTGACCGGTGCGCTGAATGGCTTAGGCCATAATGCTGCTCCTGTACAATTCAAGAGGCTTATGGAGTCGGCAAGGGCGAAACCCAAACCTGTTGGGAAAATAAAAAAGGGTAAAATTTTTGACATTTTTCCTGTGAATCCTTGTAAAATATACATTTTATTAACTAACCAGAGAAAATTATTTTTATAAAAAAACATTAACAAAACGCAAATGTTAACTAACAAAAAACGCGCCAATAAAACCGCCGGATAATTTTGAATCAACCTAATATTTTTAGGGGATACGAAGTTCAGTCCCAAAAAGCCGACGGGAAAATCGCCGGGGAAGAAAACTTGTGAAGAAGATACTCTGCATCCTAAACTTGCGGTAAGAGGGCATTTCAATTTTTTTTTGGAATTTATTGGCGTTTTAATTAGATTGTGGTGGGCATTCTGATATCTACATATTTTTGCGATTTCCAGAAGGAAAAGACTGCGGAAGGTGATGTTGTCGAGGAGGGAGATGGTTGTGAGACTCCAGGTCCAAATGAAGAGTTCGTCGAAGATGAAGAGGGAAGTGCGGGTGACGAGAATTGGATGTACTCGGACAGCGAAATGGGAAAATAAATGCCCTGCTCCTCCAACCGATTCACAGGCAATTCCCCTAGATAATTATGGGACAATCTCCCAATATATTCACACAAATAACCCACACGAATAAATGCCAATACTATTTATCCACGCAATTCCCAATCACAATCAAAACCCAAACAAGCCAGTATCAAAAGGTAGTGTCTTCGTCCAACGGAACTCTGACGGCCAACCGCACGCTCAGATTCGACCGTCCCCAACCGTTCTATCGTCTTCACTCCCCAACGTTCCCCAAAATCCTCCTTTTTCCCATAGTGGCGGAATGCCAAGGTTTCCAAATGTCTCCGTGGCTGGGCGCAGGTTGGCTCCGAATGTTGCTGAGTCGGCTGGGGCCTCACACGCCCCTCCCTTAATGTGACGGCGTCCCGACGTCATATCATCGATTCCAGTGGCACGGGGGTTCAGAATGGGGTTGGTAGTCGGGATGAGGCATCGTCGGGTTCGGGTTGGCGGGGTTGGACTGGCGGGATCGGATTGGCGATTGGATTAGCGATTGGCACCAAGGAACAAAAAATAGAAACAAGGCAAAATCTGCAAATAAATAAAGTTAAAAAGTCAAATGAAGTCCCTAAATTATCCTAAATACCCCTGGCTCCCCCCTCAATAACCAAACGACGTCTCGGCGTTTTCAGAAAGCTTTTGCGCATTCCTGAAACAGGGCCAAAATGTCATCAGATTTGACTTTTTACCGGAACGTAATAAATAAACAGAAAATTTGTTAATCAAAAACAGAAATACCTTCGAAATAAGACAACAAATAGCAATAAAATACGGTATTCCCACGGTTGAATAGCAATTGACAATACACTTTGCCATATACGTCCACATAATTTCGAAAGATTTGAATTTTGTGCCTTTCCCCTCAATTCTCGAGTAACAAAACCACTCTATCGAGCTCTTCTTATCGAATCCCCCACTCAAACTATGATTTTGTTCCAAAAACTTGAATTTACAACCTTTGACGGGAAGGAATGACTTCTGAAACCCACAATCGTTTTGACAAATATCAGAGATCTGAATGACACTGTCGATTTTTGGCACTAATTCCAGGGGAAATGACTCACTTATTTTGTCAGAAATCCCAAAATTATTCGCTCTTCGAAGGCTAACACCAATTTTTGAACACCGTTCTTCAGGGACTTGAGTATTGAACCATTTTTTATAGACGGAGTTATCCAATATCTCTTCAAAATCCAAATATTTCCTTTCCTGCTCGTGACTCCAACTCATGAATACAGATTTTGACAGTTCCAAGGTGTAGTCCGTCTGTAGGTGAACTTTTGTAGGCCGACCTGAAATCTCTGGCTCAGCAAATAACGTTTCAAGATCTCCAAATTCAATTCCACTGACGTTTTCGTCCGTTTTCTCGGGATCTGAGTATGTTCTGAAAGTTTCCTGACGTGCTTTTCGCTCTTGGGTGTCTTTACGGTTCTCAACCTTGTTTATCATGAGGCTCTCGATTTCCTTGATTTCAGGATTTGCATTCGATCTTGGATTCCATGGACCTGCTGAAATGATTCGAGATAAGGTTGGGAACCTTTTATTCGCCTTGTTATTTGGGTGTGTGCATGATGATTTCTTTCTCTGTTTCTCGAGGTAATCTCGTCTTTTATAACAGTCTTTTCCTATGTGAGTTCCCCTATGACAATAGTAACACTGCGGTCGCGCTTGAATACTGTTGTTGTATTTACCCGGCTCTGGCTTGCGCGAATTTAGTGCAGGCCGGGGCTCTGAAAATCCTGATTTTGATCACCCCTTGAATTTCTATTATCGCCCGGAATCTCAGGATATTGTCGGTTGCCTGTGGTTAAAGAGTTCCTCGGAAAGTCTTGCAGCGCTGGGTTAGGGTTGCTGAAGTTGTTGTCAGCTTCAATTGACTGTTGCGGGCGAACTAGGTGTTCATTGTCTTTATTAAACTGATACACATTGACGGCGATCTGGACCATTTCTTCAAATGGCAAATTTTTGTGTTTTTCCGCCGCTAAGGCATTACCCGCTTCCCTATGATTGAGACCGATCATAAATTTAGATAACATTTGTTTTTCCATGATCTCCTTTGGGGCTCCCGCAAACGCATTGATAGTCATGTCCGTAATTTTGTCTGCATATTCGCGCATTGGCATGTCGTATCGCCTGTAGAAGGGTTTTAAAAAGATAGACGCCCAATCTTTGTTGTCAGATGTTCGAGCTTTCACCTCCTTCTCGAAACTTTCAAAGACCTCATCAAAATTCCCGCTACTTGATGACAGTTTACAATGCTCGAAGATTCTCGCAGCCTGATCATTTAACTTTGCCTCGAGAAGATCTGTTTTCTCGGATGAGGACATGTTTTTTGTTCCCGCCTTGAACTTATAGAAAAATCTCGCTATGTCACTCGACTTTTCTCGACCACTTAAACTTGGAAGGCGCATATCCAGGAACATAAGCTCCGCAAAGTCAATCCTTTGTCTACTCGTCTCAGAACTCTCTGGTGCCTGCTGCGGGCTTGGAGGCGCTGCTGCTGCTTGCAAGGTCGCAGTTTTATTTAACAGCTCAATTAGTCGATCTAAATTCTTTTCGACCGCTGCCTGCCGTTGTTCGGCCGCTTCCGCGCGTGCCCTAGATTCTCCGATGAAATCTTCCAGCTTCCTCTCTACATTTTCCCCAGCTTTTAAGTCCCCACCATCCATTTTCTAAATATTCAACACTAATAGTCAAAATCTTACCGAATGTTGTCAGTTGGTTTGTCAGGGAACTGCTCTTGTCCTTCTCGAGGTCTTTGTGCTTCTCCTGGAGCCTTATGGGCGACTTCGGACCGAGTTTTTGCCTGAAATATCAAGTATAATATCGAGTCAAAATTCTCGAAAAAATTCACCAATTTCGCGGAAAATTCACAACCCTTCACGTGTGGCACGATAAATCCTTCCAATAAATATAAGAATCACAAATCAATTCAACTTCAAAAACAAATGGCACCCAAATCCGTTTGGATACCTAAAATAATATCCAACTCAAATTTACTCAAAGGTTACGCAAAAGAACGCGACTTTTCTTGCTCGAACGATTTCTCTAATCGATAACACAGCTCACGAATGCCAAAAGAACTTGATTGGCTCGTGTATGATACCAAGTACTATATTGTACTAGGCCGCGATAAAAATTTCCGGGATTTTTGCCGAAAATTCGCCCAAAAGTGGTGTATACTGCTTCTACCACGTTATATCTGCTTCCTGCTTCAGATCTACAGTTGTTTTGTCTTTACTGCTCAGACACAAACACTGTTTCTTTCAGAATTCCTCTTTCTGCTATCGAGGTTCTGAATTCTGGAATTTCGCACCTGCTTGTAGCGAAAAACCAGGTCAAATCCCAACCTTACTGCTGGAGGGGATCTGACTCAGATTTGGCCGTTTCTGCTTTTAGCTCAAATCTGATTTCCTTCGGAATTACTGCTCTTCCTTGGGAAATATAAAACACGATCGATCTACGAACGTCGAGTGGCCGCCGTTCGTGGTCGCCAAATGGGAAAATAAATGCCCTGCTCCTCCAACCGATTCACAGGCAATTCCCCTAGATAATTATGGGACAATCTCCCAATATATTCACACAAATAACCCACACGAATAAATGCCAATACTATTTATCCACGCAATTCCCAATCACAATCAAAACCCAAACAAGCCAGTATCAAAAGGTAGTGTCTTCGTCCAACGGAACTCTGACGGCCAACCGCACGCTCAGATTCGACCGTCCCCAACCGTTCTATCGTCTTCACTCCCCAACGTTCCCCAAAATCCTCCTTTTTCCCATAGTGGCGGAATGCCAAGGTTTCCAAATGTCTCCGTGGCTGGGCGCAGGTTGGCTCCGAATGTTGCTGAGTCGGCTGGGGCCTCACAGCGAAATCAACTTTGTTCTTACCGAACTCTTGAGATATGCGGATCCCATCGCTATCATTGAAGGCGGAAACGAGGAAGAGAAGATGGTAAGAGGTTTAAAAGTTTATGTTTATGTGCTTAGAAATACAAAACGATGGATGAGAAAATATCGAAAATAAAATGGAATCCGTTCCGGCCTTTGGAGGAGATGGATGGAGAAGCGGAGCGGTATTTGTACAGCTGTCAGATGTTGAGAAGGAACACTTTTATCTCCAATACCATGACGATGCCTCGAGGAAATAAACCCGTGATTATACACAGGAATACAAGGTATAAATTATGTATATTGCACTTGACATAACATTGACCGTAGACCGTCAAGGATTGTTCTCAGGTCTTGGTATGAATTTTTAGTCCCTTTTTTGCCGGTTTCCTTTAGTATATACGGCGATTTTGCTGATTTTTTAAAATTACTCTAAAAGATTCCTCTTATAAATTGTTGATTAGAGATGTTACTGGCTTGTTGCGCCTTTCAGAACTGTCACAATCCTCCGCCCATTCCTGAAATTATCTGAATTTCCCACTCCAACTGAAGAAATTCCTGAAGCTACCATCAAAGATGTGGTAGAAGATGCCCCAACCAATAGATCACATAAACGAGAAAAAACTATGAGATCTCAAAAAAGCAGAAAAGAAGAAAGAAAGAAGTCTACAAGAACCCACTAGCCCTTATATTATCATAAGGCTTATCATTAGAAAAATCATTGAATAAATGATCAGCTTAATGAATTTGATTGCGCAGGGTAGAGGAGTGGAATATGAGGAGTTCTATCATGGGTATTTTGGGCACGATTACAGACATTTGGTATATTATCCAAGGCAAAAGAAGACTTGGCTATCCAAAAGGCTTGATTGTATAGCCAAACTGTTAGGATGCCTTCACAGACAATAGTGACGGTAGTAAACACCCTCTACAGGCATTCGACACTTTGACTAGCCGATTCAGCCAATTTACCCAGAATACTCTGTTTTTGACTCACCAACACAGGAAATTTCTTGGTTTACTCTCTTTTTCGAAAAAATAAATCTGGAGAAATTTTGAATTTTTCGGTCGAAATCACCTTGAGGGAAGAACTGTTTGTAGATCTTCTGGAAGCCGGCTCCTGTGAGCATTCCATTCGGACAATCCCTGACGAAACCCTTGTACCATTGTCGAATCTCTTTCGCTGTGACTGGAATTAGATGATAATTAGTTTTTCACCTTATATGGTCAAAAATAAATCAAAAGATGAGAGTGAACAGTGCAATCAAAAAAAATTTCATAACGCTTATCAATTTTTTGTACCTGTGCTTTCCAAAAATACAGGGTGGTTCAGCTAAGTTCGCGGATGTAAAATGCTTATAACTTTTTATAGGATTGTTCAATTTTTATGAGCAATACCTCATTTTATTCCTTAGTAGTTACCATTTTGTTTAAAAAAAAGGTCATTAAAAATGATCTGTCCTACGTCGAGTTATGCCCTTCAAAGTCAAACATGCTTTTTCACGTAAATTTTAAAAAAATTTACGGATTTTTTCGGATTTTTTTTGATTCCATCGTATTCTACGCAAAATTCTATGACTTCTGAAGCCCACTTACAATTTACAATTATCGACCGGTCGAAAGTTATAAGCGATTTCCGAGATTTTTCGGAAATTTCCAGATTGAAGCGTGAAAAGGCAAGTTTGACTTTGAAGGGTCATAACTCGACGTAGGATTGATCATTTTTAATGATCTTTTTTTTAAACAAAATGGTAACTACTATGGAATAAAATGAGCTATTGCTCATAAAAATTGAACAATCCTATAAAAAGTTATAAGCATTTTACATCCGCGAACTTAGTTGAACCACCCTGTACAAAAAAATGTCAAAAAGCATGGTGAAAATTTTCTTTTGCGAAATTTATTCCAAAACAACTTTCTGCTTTTGTGGATTTTGTAACAAATTTGCATAATTTTTACGAAAAGTTTAGAATTTTTGAATAATTTTTTCAGATGTTGCAATTTCTACTCCGAAGATTGGTCGAACATTTCTCGAAACTCTTGAAAGTATTGGCCAGTCCAGCCGAAGGGAATGTGCATTAAAAAGAAAGTCCAGCAGCCTGCGGAACAAACCGCTCCACCGCCGGTTGAGCCGCCGGTTGAACCGTCGGTTGCGACTGCCCTTCCGCAGTCTCCGGAGAAAAAGAAATCGGTCGATCTTGCTGACCGCTCGACTTACACCGCCAAAAGTGATTTGTTCCCTGAAGAAAAGACTCTCAAGGTAATTTGTTCACTTTTTTCTGAATTTTAGGTGATAACCTTACAAGTTTTATGAGAAACTTCTAAATTTTACGTATAAAAATTAAGAATACGCCAAATGCTTTGATGCCACAGTCTAATTTTGGAGCTCGGCAATTTTTTGATGAATAACTTAATTTTCAGGACAAGAAACACAAGACAATCCCGAAAGTGAAGAAGCGGAATACGGATGGAAAAACGATTGAAGAAGACGCCGCGAATGTGACCGGTGCGCTGAAAGGCTTAGGCCATAATGCTAGTCAGAAACAATGGGAGATGCTTTTGAAGTCGGCAAGGGAGGAACCCAGACCTTTTGGGGAAATAAGAAATTGTAAAATTTTTGACATTTTTCCTGTGAATCCTTGTAAAATATAACAAGGGCGCGTTATAATTTGAAAGCCATCGAAAGAGACCCCGAGTTGAAAGAGACCCCGAAGGGTAATCGATGGCGTAGATTCCAAAAATCATATTCGTTTTTTCTGATTCTTACTTTTTTGCTTAAGTAGTAATGTTAAAAAGTAATTTTTTGAATTTTTTCTAAAAATAGTCGATTTAGGGGTTTTCGAGGGTGCTGATTTCGAAAATCATGTTAGCTTTCTTCTTTATAGTACTATCTGGTGCTATACAGTACGAGGTGAAAATATGGCTTTTGGCGTTAATGGTGTTGTTTTGATGCTTAGTAGTCCTCAAAAACAAGTTTTTAATAACTGGTACTGTTTAGTACTGTCTGGTACTATATAGTACAAGGTGAAAATAGGAGTACTAAGCAAGAGAACAACACCACAAACGCCTAAAGGCCAAAATTTTTTTTTTTTTTTTTTTACTACATAGTAACAGACAGTACTAAACAGTACCAGTTATTTAAAACGTGTTTTTGAGGAGTACTAAGCATCAAAACAACACCGTTAACGCCAAAAGCCATATTTTCACCTCGTACTGTATAGCACCAGATAGTACTATAAAGAAGAAAGCTAACATGATTTTCGAAATCAGCACCCTCGAAAACCCCTAAATCGACTATTTTTAGAAAAAATTCAAAAAATTACTTTTTAACATTACTACTTAAGCAAAAAAGTAAGAATCAGAAAAAACGAATATGATTTTTGGAATCTACGCCATCGATTACCCTCTTTTTGACCTTTTCGGCCATTTCGGGGAAACATCGAAAGAGACCCCCGATTCCGGGGTCTCTTTCAACTCGGGGTCTCTTTCGAGGAAAACCTTATAATGAAAATTTACCTATTTTTAGTGGATACGGTTTTCACTCCCAAAAAGCCGACGGGAAAATCGCCGGGGAAGAAAACTCGTGAAGAAGATACTCTGCATCCCAAACTTGCGGTAAGAGAGCATTTCAATTTTTTTGGAATTAAATTAGATTGTGGTGGGCATTCTGATATCTACATATTTTTGCGATTTCCAGAAGGAAAAGACTGCGGAAGGTGATGTTGTCGAGGAGGGAGATGGTTGTGAGACTCCAGGTCCAAATGAAGAGTTCGTCGAAGATGAAGAAAAAAGTGTAGATGACGAGAATTGGATGTACTTGGACAAGGAAATCAACTTTGTTCTTACGGAACTCTTGAGATCTGCGGATCCCACCGCTATCATTGAAGGCGGAAACGAGGAAGAGAAGAAGGTAAGAGGTTTAAAAGTTTATGTTTATGTGCTTAGAAATACAAAACGATGAAAGATAAAGTATCGAAAATAAAATGGAATCCGTTCCGGCCTTTGGAGGAGATGGAGGGAGAAGTGGAGAAGTATGTGTTCAGCTATCCGACGCTGAGAAGGAACACTTTTGTCTCCCATGCCGTGACGATGCCTCGAGGAAATAAACCCGTGATTACACACAGGAATACAAGGTATAAATTATGTATATTGCACTTGAGATGAGTTGCAATAATCCGTTTTTTGGCTAGTGTTTCTGGTGTCCAAATTGGCATACTGTTTTAAGGATTTATATAATCAGATTGAGTACGGAAAGGTCCGCCGTGCGGAAAGGTCCGCTGGACGGAAAGGTCCGCTGTGCGGAATGGTCCGCTGCGGAATGGTCCGCTAAAAAAAGGAACAGGGGGGGGGAGGTTTTCGATGGCGCGGGTTTCAAAAATCGTATCCATTTTTTCTGAATTTTACAATTTTGCTTAGGCAGTAGTGTTAATTAGTAATTTTTTAAAAATTGTTTTGAATAATGGATTTAGGGGTTTTCGAGGGTGCTGATCTCAAAAATCGTATCCATTTTTTCTGAATTTTACAATTTTGCTTAGGCAGTAGTGTTAGTTAGTAATTTTTTAAAAAATGTTTCGAATAATGGATTTATTTAGGGGTTTTCGATGGCGCTTATGCGAGATAACAATGATTGGTCATAAAAGACGTAAGTTATATTCTACTTGGTGTTTTCATTTTTAGGTGTGACTGGTCTCGAATTTATCGATAAAGGAGCTGAAGTTCTGTCTCTCGAGCTGATGGATCGTTGAATAAGTGGAACTGTGCGGTTGGAAAGTCCGTTGGGCAGATTGTTCACGAATATTCAGAGCTGAGAAGTCTAAGTTGACATGAAAAGGATAAAGTCCGGCTGATAACTTCCAATAAAGGCCAGATCACACTAGTATCCGCTGAATTCGAGGAGGTTGTAAGTCAATGCTTTTTATTTTGTTCAGGCATCAAAAATTTGCTTTATATAGTAACTTATCTTATTTTAGGTATCATTTGACCAAGATCAAGGAATTACTGCGGCTGCTGTCTTTAATGGCTCGACATTGACCATCGAGATCAAAGTAAGTTTTTTTAAATGTTTTATCTTGCTTTAGGGAAGTTCTATCGATCGACAAATGGAGGTAGAGTTCACTAAATTCAAATCTATTGCGAAGGCCTGCTGCTTTCTTTTGGTAAGTGACGTGGCAATTCCTTTTATTTATTACGACATATAATTTATATTACACTTGCTACAAACCTATCAATTTCAGCTAAGGGTCAGTCATTCTTTGCAAGAGGGAGCCGCAAACTCTAAAGCCAGTCTGCCTTTTTACAGAGGCCTATCTGCAACCCGTTTATGACTTTGCAGTCAACGAACATCATCTGTATACAGCTGGAAAAGATCATTTTGTTAGAAAATATCGGCTACCAGCCTTGTGAAATATGAATTATTTTGTGCTAATTGTAACGGTGGTTTTAACTTTAGTAAATGCGGGTGTTTTCCATTTACTTATTTGATGTTGTAATTTAGATACAAGCTGCGTTGGGATGTAGCCTGACTACGTCGCTACGTGTGAAACTTTTTTCATCAAAATAATTTTTCTAAACGTTGGGAAGGCATTGAGCGGTCAATTAAGAACACCTTTTTTCCAAAATGTAGCATTTAAGAAAATCGGCGAAGTGTCATCGGAAAAACCCAAAGAAAGAAAAATCAATCATTGTTATCTCGCATAAGCGCCATCGAAAACCCCTAAATAAATCCATTATTCAAAACAATTTTTTAAAAATTACTAACTAACACTACTGCCTAAGCAAAATTGTAAAATTCAGAAAAAATGGATACGATTTTTGAGATCAGCACCCTCGAAAACCCCTAAATCCATTATTCAAAACAATTTTTAAAAAATTACTAATTAACACTCCTGCCTAAGCAAAATTGTAAAATTCAGAAAAAATGGATACGATTTTTGAGATCAGCACCCTCGAAAACCTCTAAATCCATTATTCAAAACAATTTTTAAAAAATTACTAATTAACACTCCTGCCTAAGCAAAATTGTAAAATTCAGAAAAAATGGATACGATTTTTGAAACCCGCGCCATCGAAAACCTCCCCCCCCCCTTTTCCTTTTTTTAGCGGACCATTCCGCAGCGGACCATTCCGCACAGCGGACCTTTCCGTCCAGCGGACCTTTCCGCACAGCGGACCTTTCCGTCCTTCGTGATATAATCAACGTGTCAGAAATTTTGGTCCTAGGCCGTCAAGGATTATTGTTCTCAGGCCTCGTTATGAAGGTTTAGTCCTTTTTTTGCCGGTTTCCTTTAGTATATACGGCGATTTTGCTGATTTTTTAAAATTACGCTAAAATTTCTCGAGCCCGATACCTCTTATAAATTGTTGATTAGAGAAGTTACTGACTTGTTGCGCCTTTCAGAACTGTCACAATCCTCCGCCCATTCCTGAAATTATCTGAATTTCCCACTCCAACTGAAGAAATTCCTGAAGCTACCATCAAAGATGTGGTAGAAGATGCCCCAACCAATAGATCACATAAACGAGAAAAAACGATGAGATCTCAAAAAAGCAGAAAAGAAGAAAGAAAGAAATCTACAAGAACCCACTAGTCCTTATATTATCATAAGGCTTATCATTAGAAAAATCATTGAATAAATGATCAATCACATTAATGAATTTGATTGCACAGGGTTGAGGAGTGGAGTATAAGGAGGCATTTTGGGCACGATTACAGACATTTGGTATATTATCCAAGGCAAAAGAAGACTTGGCTATCCAAAAGGCTTGATTGTATAGCCAAACCGTTAGGATGCCTTCGCATACAATAGTGACGGTAGTAAACACCCTCCACAGGCATTCGGCTCTTTGACTAGCCGATTCAGCCAATTTACTCAGAATACTCTGTTTTTGACTCACCAACCCAGGAAATTTCTTGGTTTACTCTCTTTTTCGAAAAAATATTAGGGTGAACCAAAAGTCTTTTCGTTTTTTAAGGTATCTTTTTGTCCGATTGTTTTTGTTAGAAATAAAGACTTTTAGATGAATGTATTATATATTCGTTTGTTGTAAAATTATGTTTAAAGTTTTAATAAAAAAAACGAAAAGACTTTTGGTTCACCCTAATAAATCTGGAGAAATTTTGAATTTTTCGATCGAAATCTTTTGCATCGTCTCTTGTATGAAAATGAAGTTGTTTTCTAAAAAACCTCTCATTTCGAATAATTGAACCGGAAGTGGTCGGCAGTCGTTTCTCCCAATATTTTATCCGTTTCGAGAGCAACTTATGGAGTCGGGTAAGGTAAAGTTGCAGTCTAGAATAGCCAAGTATTTCCTCAAATGAGCTCCTCAAATCTAATTCGTTGTAATTTTTGACGAAACGGACTATAACTGTTCAAATAACTTTATTTTTTTCAGTCATATCAACCTCCCAAGGCATTGATGTTGTGATTTACGGCCTGACCTTGTCCTCCATTCTCATCACTTCCAATTTGCTGCTCATTTTGCTGACTGTTTGCGGGAAAAGTAAGAAAAATGCGAAGAAAAATAAGAAACACAAGAAGAAGAGTAAAAACAGGAAGAAGAGCAAGAGCCATTCCAAATCCAAGCAAGGAAAGCCTGGACTTTATCCGACTCCGTTGGTAGGTTACAGAAAAAATGTTACAGTAACCTCAAATAATGACTTCAATTTCCAGGATGAAAAATTCGGAATTCCCGGCGAAGAGCAACGCGCTGTGTCTCCAATCAAGGCCGCCCAGCCTCAGCCGGAGCCAGCAGAGGCTTCAACTCCACCACGTGTGAAGCCGGTAGAGAAGTCGAAAGAGACGCCGCTAAAACCGCCCGGCGAACAGCCAAAAGCCGAGGAAAAGGTGGAGAAGAAAGAGCCTGAGGTGGAAAAGGAGGAAGATGTGGGTCTACAGCGACATATCTTTTGTCTTGCCATGTCTGATCAATCCATTTCACCAATTTCTTTCAGAAGGTCTCCAGCGCCGATAAGCCCGCCGAAAAGAACGCCGAAGACAATAAAAAGAAGTCGAGTTCCGAAAAAGAATCCAAGAAGGCAACTACAGAGACCAAGACCACCAAAACCAGCTCAACAGATGTAAAACTGAGTGAAGAAAAAACTAAAAAATTGACGGATCCAAAATTGTTCGAATATGAAGACGAAGAACTCAAGGAAGATGAAGAAGAAGAGACCTCGGAGGAACAGAAGATGGTGAGCAGACAAAAAAGACAAGCGGTCACTCCATCGGTGGCACCAAGTGGAGATACGACCAATGTTTCCACAGACTACGATTATGATCAATGCCCGGACATGACGCCGGAAGCGTTTATTCAGGTCGAAAAGTTTTTGACAGAGCATTATTATTGATTCAAGAAGCTTGACAGAGCTTAAGATGTGACTTTAAGATGTCTGATTTGAAAGAATAAATACTGTTTAATATTGGTATAAAGTATCGTCGATCCGGACAGTCGTTCATTCGAAAAACCGTAGCGTAAAAATAGTTTTTTCTGTGATTTTTAACCTGAATCTTTGAGGAGAATGCTGCTGTTTTATTTTGAAAATTTCATATAAATTTCAACTTGAAATGATGAAAAAAGTAAAAAAATTTGGCGACATTCAATGCGCTGTTACACAGCTGTTCCGTATTTTAATACCAAATAAAGGTGATATTTATAATTTTTATACGAAATCACCAAAAAAAGAGAACCTTTGGCAAAGAAAACGCCTGTAAAAAACAAAAAAAAAAACATTTATGTAGAATTCTCGAGGAAGAAAATTGGGAATGGCGGAGTCAAAACTTGGACAAAAAATACTTTAAAATCAGCAAAAAATCTTTTGAATCGGATAAAATTCATCAGAAAAATTTTAAAAAATAACAAAGAACTCAAAATGGGTTCTTTTTTCACCTTCATTTCCCCTCTAATCATTCCCAATTTTCCAACAAAAAATATAAACATGCTTGATCAATTTTCATTTTCGTTGTCAAATCGATCGAGAAACGGATAAAGCTCCAATAAAATCCTACATACAAATACTACAATAAGTTGTATAATATTACATTCACAACGTAAACTTTCAATATTGACAGTGCTGTAAAAATTTGAAATTTTACATTGTGAAAATTTAAATAACCGGTAAGTCGACAAAAGATGCAATGAAGGTAACAAAAGTATGCAAATTTTTCAATATAGTAAACAAAAATGATGGAAAATTTAATGTGAAAATTTCAGTTTGAAAAGCGAAACATTTTCTTTTGCAGTTTTTGATCTTATAATTTCAAAAAACGATTTATCGTTTGATAGTATGTATTTACATCTAAAAAAATCAAAAAATAAAAAATGCCAAAAAATTTTTAAAAACTTTTCAAACTCAACATTCAAATAAATTTCCCCTCAAATTACAACATAACACAAAGGAGATGATAAATGCTTGTTTCCTCATGCAGTACCAAATTGGATGATCGTTAAGTCGAAAGGCCTTCGTATAAGGACAAGGCGTGCACTATGGACGGATCCGCCTTCGCTCCCTCTTTGAATTCATCCAGCGTTAATTGAGCATCGTTGTTCTGGAAAAAACTCGATTTCAAATTTATCAAAACCATATAGAGAATTCTGTTAAAAAATTTTTTTTATTTTTTCAAAAAATTTGGCTGTAAAATCAAGCAAATGTAAAGACTTAAATATTTGAGAACTGAAACTTTTCGAGCTCTTTTCTTACCTTATCCATCATCCGGAAGATCCGATCCACCCTCTTTTCAGGTGTGTTTTCCTCCTCCGGCAATTTGACCGAGTCCCCGACCATTTTGTAAATGGAACCCACAATCGAAAGCATCTCACTTCGCGTGATAAATCCATCATTATCCAGATCGTAGAGCCTGAAGGCCCAATGCAATTTCTCGTCCAAATTCCCGCGTGATGTTATCGAAAGGGCCCGGATAAACTCGTGAAACTCTATTGCACCGTCCTGAAAATTAAGCAAGATTAAGAACAAAAACCCTCGAAGAAGTGCCATGTGTAACCTAAAACTCACTTTGTTTTCATCAAAGACCTTGAATACGAAACTGGCAAACTCCGAGGGGTCACCTTGAGGGAAGAACTGTTTGTAGATCTTCTGGAAGCCGGCTTCTGTGAGCATTCCGTTCGGACAATCCCTGACGAAACCCTTGTACCATTGTCGAATCTCTTTCTCTGTGACTGGAATTAGATGATAATTAGTGGTTACCTTGGTTTTACGTCAAAATGGAGAAAGTTTTCTTTTGCGAAATGTATTCCAAAACAGCTTTCTACATCGATATTCAAAACGTCAAGTCATTCTACATAGCGCAATAAAACAAATCTAACATTGTTATTGTAATGAAAGCACTTTAAACTTGCACATTAACGATTTACAACTTACAGTAGGTTTGTTTGGCCAATGTTTTCACCTGTTCCGTCTTCAGTTTACTGTTCGGTTTTCCCATTGTAGGAATAAAAAATCAGCGAGAAATCGTGGGGGAATTCCACTTTGCAAGACTAGCCACTACTGGTATACGAATAATTGCAAAGATCTGAAAACAAAATTGGATGTGACTTGAAAAATTGAGCGAAAACGAAGGTAAACCTCGTGACAATATAAGGTGGAAAAGGAGTAAAAGGTAAATATTAAAGATCAGAATTATAAGGGGAAGTCTAAAAATGAAAAAAAAACATGATTTCTCAGATGCGGCGATATTAAATACGGTGAAAAATTTGACTGAAATTTAGATTTGAGCCTGAGTATCTCTACATTGAAGTATTTTTAAATTCGCTTTGACAAGAACAGGATGTTTTCTTTGTTACAAATATATAATAAATACTACACTCAAATTATTTCACAGTCAATCACAATGAAAAAGAATGAAACAAGAAATGGGTAAAAGGAGATTTTTTGATGAATATCATAATTAGTCGAACTAATCTACAACCAAAGAGAACATCACTTTGTTAAGTTTTTTTCAAAATCAAAATTTCTGTAACTAGTGTAATATAAATCTTCCCAAAATGCAAAATAATCACCCAATTCCCGCCAAATCTTCAAGCATGATACCCAAACCCCCTTTCATATTCCTTGCTTTCACAGCCTCTGTAATCCAGTTAACCCCATTCGCTACATAAGTAATTACAAGCCGGCTAATTGCGTAATAACCCGCTGCTCGGGCTGGCTTTCCCACCGCAGGGCATTCTCCTCGAAAGCGACGGGGAGAATGTGTGTTCGAGCGTGCAGAAATCTGGGCCCCTGAGGGTGCCGAGTTTCAAACCATACGCCCTTTATTCTTTATTTATTTAACCGCGAGAGGAATTCGCGTCTTGAACAGCCCACGAAAAAGGTGTGGAAAAGTTCGTTGGGAATGAGAATGGCCACGCAACCTAGTCCATATTACAATCGGAGGATTAGAAAATATAAGAAGAACGGCATACAGAGAGGTACGTTGTTCCGGAGACATTTCAATGGCTTGGATGCGAACAGCACAAAAATTTGATTTTTTGAGCTGCTTTTTTCCTCTGACCATTATCCGATTTTGCGCGCTGTTTCGTCAACAAAGACCGGTTTAATAAGGCTGCCCCTCAGCCGTAAAGCCGAACTCAAAAAATTTTTTTACCATTCATTATCTGTCGCGACAGTAATGTTTAAATATCTCAAATTCCGATAAAATTAACCCGTCTTTTTATTCTGATTACATTTTTGACGCGCTTTGTGATGCTATGATTCATAGTAAAAACAAAAGAAGAGGAATTCCCATGGCCAAAAAGTTGAATAGCAATCCGTCAAAGGAATATTTCAAAAACAGTGTTGTTGGTGTTGAAATATGTAATATAATGTATAGCTACGAACGGTAAAACAGTCAAAGAAAGAAGAAAACGATTATTCTGAATTAGAGCCTTTTAAAAAAAAGCCAGGCGTATTTTACATGAAACCATGGGCAGAAAAAACATTAGAATTGTTGCTAACCCGTGTCGGCACCTTCTTGTGGAAATGGATAAAAGAGAGTGCCATAATGAACAGAAATATTGTTGTTTGCGACTTATGAAAAATATTTCCTAATTGTAAAAGGTAATCAATGGACAGACATAATATTTTCGAAACTTGGTATATAGCTATAGATCTGTACCAAAACAAAGTTTAAAGGTTCTACTATATGTCTCCAAGAATGGTTCAACGATGGGATTTCTCATCCAATTTTGAAAAATAAAGAAAAAATAAAAAATCGGACGGAATAACAAAAGCAAAAAACTTGAGAATAAATTTTAAAATAATTCACATCTCGCATGCCTTATTTACGGAATAAAATATGTTATGTTTTAAAAATCATGATTTTTCAATTTTCGAAAAAAAATAATATTTTCATAATTGAAAGCGCCAGAAATACCTCAAAACTCTAGAACAATCCTGCCCAAAATTCCTTCCAGTCTTATTTCCACTCTCCCTACCTTGGAGAGTAATCAAAAGTCTACCTTCGTTTCCCTTCCGCTACAACTTTTGACCTTAAACAATGGGACCCCGTCGGAAATCCCCGTCTCCAGATGTTTGTGGGCAAAAGGTGGAGTCGTTTATGGAGTCAACTTTGTTTCCATAAAAAAGAATGGACCAGAACGTCAGCATAATTAACGTCTAATGGAGAAATAGGCAATTTAAAGAAGGAGATTTTTAAGATTTAGAGGAAAAAATCAGACGTACATTTTTTTGGATGACAGGAATTAAAGTTATATCAAAATTTTTCAAAGTACGCATTAAAATTTTCAGCTTACCTCGACTATTTAAGAAACAAATAACTTAATTTTAAATCAAATTAGCAGTAACAAGATTATTTGACATCAAAATCAAACCTTTAGTCTAAAAAAATCAAGTCTAATACAATTTAAGCTTGCGAAAAAACGAGCTAGTGGTATGTTTGGCGTCTGTCGAGATTAAGAAAACATACTTGAATTAGACAAAATCCCCTCAGTACATACAAATAAATATTTTTTGGCAAAAAAACAACCCTTCGCCCAAAGGTGGCCAAGGAAAACAAAAAAAAATATACGAGAAGCAAAACGGAATTGTCTGTGAAAAGACAAACTAATATAAAATACAATCTGCATAATAAAGCGGGGTCGTATTCCGAAAGGGGAGCGACGAGAGTTGGGGACACGAAGAATAAATGTAATATATAGGAAAAAGTGAAAAATTAGGGCACCTTTGAAGGAAAAAAGGGGCTAAGGTAGTACAGCCCCCCAGTCCAGTTCAGCCCCCCATGCCCCAGTACAGCCCCCCACGTCCATTCCGTACCCCCAAAATTTATTCCCAAGAATTATTCTAATTTGTAAAACGTAAGGGGGCATGATCTAAAACGTAGGGGGCTTGATCTAAAACGTAGGGGCTTGATCTAAAACGTAGGGGGCTTCATCTAAAACGTAGGGGGCTTGATCTAAACGTTCTACTACTAAACATTATAATTCCCTCTTTGCGGCACCGAAACTATAACTGAAGAAGTACATATGCACACTATACCTCGTATTTATCCATAGAACGGCCCCGAGTACGTAATACCATAATGTGCCCACATTTCTCGCAACAAGGGTCTTTGGGCAGACAACCAAGAGCCTGCAGAGCACCAATGAGACCATCAGAAGAGACGAGGTTGGTGATCTGTTCCACAGTAGAGATTTGTGACATGCCGACCGGTTCCAAGGGGAAGAACAAGAAGAATGAATGAATCGTTTCAGAATTAAGATTTTAATCTCATTTGCACTTTTTTTATTATTCTAATTTTTTCATTATGGGGGTGTGAAATGGGCAAAACAGTGGGGGGCTGAACTACCTTTCGTGGGGGGCTGAACTACCTTTCGTGGGGGGCTGAACTACCGAAGCCCCGGAAAAAAATGTAAAATACGGGTAAAAATATTTTTTTTTGTTGGTTGTCCTGCGATGTGCGTGCTTCGAGGGAAAAATTCATTTTCAAATTAGAAAACGAAAAGGAGCACGGCATTCTTTAATGGCAGCTTTAAAAATTTGACTTTTTAAAATTTTGCGGGGGTTGTTGTAAGATAAAAACAATTGATGACAATGTTTTTGGAATAAGTAAAAAAGAAGTTTCAATTTCTTTTAAATTTGAAATTTTTTTGTATTCATTTTGTTGTAAAATAGGAAGCTAAACTAAAAATAAGCAAAAAACATTTTTTTTGAAAAGCCCAAAAACTTTTTTAATATCTCACAAAAGACACTTGAGAACACTGTACCTCAACCTTTGATCCCAGTAAACTTTCCTTAATCCACTTGTAAAAACTTGAGCTCTCTTTAATTTATCGACTAATCTACCGCAATTTTCTTGTCAAATATATCAAAGACCGCTCAAGTCGAGCTTTGTTCCTTATTACAAGAAAAGACCTCATTTTGAATAATTTAAGACCAAAAAAGATATCAAAATTCCCTAAAGTGAGATTCGTAAAAAAGAAGTCCACTCTCATCCCAAAAAAACTTTTTTGTTTTCCTTTCGTAAAAAAATGCCACAAGGTAAAGACTGTTGTTGTTACGCACTGTGTCACGAGGCGCCGCCGAGGGGGAGGAAAATGGAGAAAACTCGGAAATTGTAAACCTGATACTCGCTTGGATTAACTTCGGAGTTCGTTCTGGTGTATTATGATGTGGCGAATGAAACATGGAGGACAAGGAGTCTGTTTGGGGGAATGCTTCGAGAAAAAGTTGGGAAAACACTAGTAAATGTAGGGGCCGTGAGATCCGTGGATTCGTCGGGAAGACTGGGTCAATTTTTCGCAAAGAAAATGAAGGGTAAAATACGGGATTCCGACGTGCAGAAAATAAAAATTTTTGTCAAAGTTCACTGCGATAAATTAATTTTCATCTCGAGGTTTGGCCAAATTTGGCAAAAATTAATTGTTTTTTCAAAATATTTTGCACAAACGTCCGGTCTAGGCAATAAATAAATTCCTGGAATTTTTAGCTTGCGCCTTGCAGGGAGAGCCGAGATATTTTGACGATCATTACAGACGAGAGAGCGCGCGAAATGCGGAGATCAGTCAGAGCGTAAAACGGTTTTCTTTCATATTGAGCCGATCAACGTTAATTTTCGATTCAAATCTTCATCAAATCAAAAAATTTGGGAATTTTAAATTCCAATTCCTTATTTACTGGTCTAAATTACCTTCCCTTTCACCCGCCCTTACCTACTTCCTCAACCTCCCTACCAAAAACAGCCCCGAACAAACCCTCCGTAAAAATAATGTTTCCATTTCATAAGAGGGACCGCGGCCGCAGAGCAGAGTATTAGCTAATTAAATGTGTCGAGAGCGCCTGCAAACAATCGTGTAAATTAAATTGACTGGAAAAATTAAAAGCAAATACGCGACCCAAAGTTTGGGCCGTCTTCAACGTTTCGGCCGCTTATTAACGATTTTATATAAACGCGTGTTAGAGCAAAACTCGGGATTCGAGAAAGTTTGAGTT